ACTGTATAGAGTTTGTCAGTTTGTAGCCTTTAACTCCAGCCTCCAGCTCCCACCTTTCAGCCGAGACGTGCAAGCCTGTCAATTATAAGTTTGTAAGCTCCTCGAATACGCTCCTGCTCTCTCGTGGGTGCCATAATAGTTGTTTGCGTAGGTTGTGCCACGAACTTTAGGCTTGTTAGGGCTTGTATGTATCCTGTGTATGTTTTTAGTATTTTCGAGTTTCTGTATTTTGTAAAAGACTTTGTAGTTTTTTTAAAGTAAAGTGGGAAATGGAAGTAACGCAATACATAGTTATATTTAGAGTTTTTTTTAAGGGGGGGAAATCATCGAATGGCTGCTCTCGCCTGGATGAGGCGGGTGGGAGTGTCAGACTCTTACTGACTAAAAACCACCCCTTTCTCACTTCTCACTTCTCACTTCTCCTGCACTTCGAGCCGGAGCCCCGGTGACCCGTTAGGTTCTCAGTAGATATTACTTATTAGATACCGTGACAGTCGCATGGAGCCAGTGGATGCAGGTGGCGAGTTGTCGTTCAACGTGGAGGACCACAGGAAGGCCTTTGTTCAGCAGTGGACCTCTTCAGGCTGATGATGACGACTATGATGATCACTAGTTAATAAGGTCAATCCGACAAATGTCTTAAATTGCTAAAAATATACTACTATAGTGAAAATCTCAGTGGAAAAGAAATATTTCCTTCCTTAACCGATTACGCATGCTGCTTTCACAATACGAGTTGATTCGCTTTAAAAATAGAAATACTATGAACACTGCACCGTAGTGAATCAAATACATCGTAAATATATGATACATCGATATTTACTCAATAAATCGATACTGTCCAATAAACTTATCATATACAAACAAATCGGTGAGAATACAAGTATTATATTTCTTAGGGCCAGACTGATTTGAGAGTTACGTCATAATATGTTACATATTATGTATGAGTATTTGTTTTCTTGTCATTTGTTTGTCATATTGTATGATCTGTTTCATACGAGATAAATAAGTACTCATTATGTACTATCAAACTACTTTCTGCATAGATACAGCTATTAATTTGGGCTATTATTTTGCGATTGAACCTTTTATAAAAAACAATAAGTAACATTTTCATCATAACATTAGATTAATAAGTTTCTAAGCTACTAGTCCCCCACTAAACATGACCGTATGCTCCCTGCCTTACTGACTCACGTTTGGCTGACTGCCAGTTTATGCTCCAACAAAATCTCTGCTAAGCGTGTATCCGAACATTAAACAAATTATAGGGTACTGGCCGTTAATGCTAAATTTTCTGCGAATAAAGATGTTCAGGCGTCAAAGCTAGCGCTAGTGTAACAACGGCACTATGCTTCGACGCTAGTTAATGACTTCTGGTATTAAGAAGTCGTTTGTTCAAGAAATGGCTTTTTGAAATTTTCTGCATATTAGTTTTATGTGTCATAAGATTGTCCTGAGATTTTCTCCATACAGTAAAACCAAAATAACTTATTTTTGCGGATCAATTTTATATGAAATACCAAAGCAAGAGTTATAAAATTACCTTTTTCTTTGTAATATTAGGAACATATGTATTGTACAGAATTCCAATATACTTCATCTCCGGCTGCCATTCGTTCGGTGTGGCGCGGGCGTGTAAATTCAATTGTAAGAATTAGGAGCTCAGACGTTCTGTGCCAGCATGAGGCCTGGAAAAGGAAAATATACAATATTTTTGATTCAAGATACGGGAGATAGTAAGGATAAACACGGATATACTCTGATTTGTAGCACTGCAAGTTTTACTCTGCTGATTTTTAGTTTATTGCGAAGTATAGTAGTTTAAGAAATTCTATCTACTGTAGAAGATTCTAATCTAAAATGTATTCGGTAGATTAAGTTCATAGTAAGGTTCGCAACGACGCATACGTGGTCCAAAATGAAGTCATTTGTTCACATTTACTCTTAGAATAATAATAAATGCTACAAGATGACATCTTACGATTATGTTTAGACAAATTCTAATTCCGTTTTCGCTTTAGTACTAACCAACTAACTAGGATACAATCGTGATAAATTCCAGTATATGGCCCACGTCTTGACAATAATTGCTGTGCCCGGCGCGACAGCACAGCAATAAAGGACACCAATCAAACGCTCAGCAGATAATCGCAGACCAACAGGCTCGGTGTAATTGTATAATAACACGCTATAATTGTAACGAGACTGGTTAGATGGAGCCACTTGTATCATGAGGAAAACCATGTTGGAGATGGATGTTTAGAATTTAAATGCAGAAACAAAGACTGTCGGATTAATTTTGGATTTTGTGTTATTTGTCATAGTGTAAAGTTTAGGTGATGTTGGTGGATGGAAAGCTGCTGGATGCAGGTCCAGGGCGCTTCCAAACGGCTGATTTGGAAGTAATAAACGTCTTATAGTTTATATGATGACAATGATAAAGATATATAGCGCAACGACTGGGTGATGGTCCTTAAAGGTTGAACAAACATTGTTTTCTATGATCTTCATTTGGTTCAGAGAAGTATTACATCAACAGTTATTATACTATTTCTCTCAAAACCTTAATTTTCAGATGACGTCATTTATGCTAACTAATAGGTTTTGCTTCTCCTCCACTATGCATCTAACAGCGTCATTAAACGACGTGGCCTGTTCAAGGGATGGCCGTAATTCATTTAAGCTGGCTAGCTAACGCACGCCTAGATAATTTAGTTATCGCTGGAGATTGGAACCGTGTTCCATTACGTACGTAATATCATCTCCATTAGAGATAAATACCGGCTGTGAACTGTCGACCTTAGAGGATTTGTTGCTGGATTAGAGGCTGGATTGAATTATAGTCTGTATCTAGATATATGTGTCATACTAACAGCATAAGATGAGACAGGGGCTTTTAACAAGCAAGCAAAGGAATTAGTAGGGGAACCTAACGGGTAACCGGGGCTCCGGCTCGACGTGCAGGAGAAGGAACGGGGTGGTTTTTAGTCAGTAAGAGTGACACCCCCTCGCGCCTCACCCAGGCGGGAGCAGCCATTAGATGATTTTGCCCCCTTAAAAAAAAAATCAGTAATTTATTACATTCAATTTACCTAAAATAGTTTGCATGGATGCAGGTCGTTTTCAATCGGCCGTTCTGGAAGTTATTGGGAGAAACCTATGTTCAGTAGTGGACGTTTTATAACGAATTTGATAAAAGTAGACTAGCTTTTATCGTACTCCGAAAAAGATTCGGACCTCCTGAAGTTTGAGTTTCAAAAATATTTCAAGCAGTCACAGTGGTATTTACAAAATTAAAGTAAATATTTGTACTACAGTTCCAATGATCGTACAAAATAGTCAACAATGAGTTCCCACGTTGTGCGCAGTCCCACCACGCCATCGCCATTGTATCGCTCAGGCCTCCTTATCCTTATGCAATTTACGCATGCAGCTGGAAGGTCGAAGATGATTCCACTTGCATTACTCATTGCATCTAAAGATACCTAAATAATACAGCTCATTGTTTCTTCAGGAATTTATATCAAATGAAGTCCAGTTGGTCGCAAAGGGATGGAATTTCGTTTCTTTTAAAAAAGATGTAATCTTCTGATGTAATCCTCCGCAACCATTATTGTCATTCATGTCCCGGTTTACAATTTACATTTATCTGTCTACCTAAGTATATAATTTCGTTAGTCTCGCTAAAACTCTAGAACGGCTAAACCGATTTGGCTAATCTTGGTCTTCAAATGTGCGTGGAGTCCAGGGAAGGTATAAAAGGTGAGAAATCGGTCTATTAAAAAAATAATTTTTGAAGTGATTTGCAGTTTTCCGGGCCAGCTAGTAACTAATAAAACATATGATAAGTGCGTATAAACTATAATACTGAACAAGAATTTTTCTTCAAGAATAAGTTATGTAGAGGTTCAATAAGCTATCAGCATTCAATAGAGTAATTCAACTTAATATTACGGATATAGGTTACCTACCACATATTAGGGCGGCACACAGACAACATGCCAAACACACCGGGTACAGTTTAATGTACAGCCATTAACAGTTTCATTGGTTTTCCTACTCGATGCGCTATTTGCCTGTTTATTAGCTCAGTTCCTATATAAACTCCATCCGATAAGTTTAAACGCTTCTAAAGAGAAACTCGTAAAATTCTTATTTAGCGGTGCATCGAGTTACATATGCGGAGGTTGAGTTATTCAGAGGAACTGTGCAAGGCATTTGTACTCAAGAGATATATGACACAGACGTACTAAAATGACAGTTACGTATACTTGTACTATTTGCGGAGAATAAAGTAAAATGTGTTTAGGTAGCTGATGTTACAGTGACACAACTGTTGAATGCCATCCAGTGCTTAGCCCGGTTGTACTGCATTCAGTATAATACGTACAAACTCACTAGTTTGTATTATACCAAAAAGCATATAGTAATCTCAATTTAAGCATCTCATTGCATGAAAAATCTGTAGTAAGAAATCAACTATTAACGTAAACAGCTTTCTTAATATCATACACAAACATTTGTCCATATAATCTTATTTTGTAAAGTATATTGATATTAGTAGTTCCGATTCGTAGTACATCGTAATTGCGTGGGCAGTCTCAGTGCCAATGGTGTGACCTCTGTTTTACCGGTCCCGCGCTATGACAACACGACTAAATTATTTTATTGTTGTTTATATTACGAAAATAAGTTTTATTTGTAGATCTCAGTTGTGTACAGTATTTTCAGTTGTCAAGGTCCGATTGTTACAATGTGTTACAAGAATTATTCTGTTTCATTCAACGAAAGTAGGTAATGGATCATCTACTGAAAGATATCCACAGCCGAACAAAGGCGTTTCCCATGTAATTCTTACACTTGACTAAAGGCTTGCTGCAGTCGATGTATGCCAAGACAGTGTCTCGGTAGCTGTTTCAAGACAGTACCTGGGTCCGAAATACCCATAATATACATAAATACGATTACCGCAATAAATATTTGTTTCGTTCCAGGTTCTGAAGGTCGAGCGGCAAGATGCCGGAGGGAGTGGCGAAAGAGGATGCGAAGGGGAAGGCCAAGGAGGCCTCGCCGCGACGCCGCCCCTCAGGCAACGTCGTCAAGGTCAAGGTGGAACTCCTCGATGGCTCCATCATGGAACTTGACGTCGATGTAAGTTAAGAATTATCATAAAATTTTATTTTCTCCCAATCCGAAGGGTATCATAATCACTCAGTAACTCTAGTAAGATACGGTGTACAATAAAGCAATCGGTCGTATGTTCAGTGTGGTGTGGGAACGAACGCGTGGATGTAATGAGTGTATTACAATATTCATCGGATGTATTGAGGAGTACGTACTATGTAGTGTCTTATTATAAAGTGGTTCGATAAGGAATAATTATTAGTCAGTCAGAGATTTTCCACCCCATTTACTATTCTCTTATTCTGTTGTCGCAATGGCCCAAACTATCACTACCATATTTAAGGGCCTTATGGATACTTGCACCAATAATTTAATGTAAATATCCTGTTTCAGAGAAAGATCAGAGGCCAGAGTTGCTGGGCAAGGTGTGCGACAAACTGAACCTCGTGGAGAAAGATTACTTCGGGCTGCTGTACGAGGACCGCGGGGACCCGCGCGTCTGGGTCGACCTCGAGAAGAGGCTCTCCAAGATGCTCAAATGTGAGTACCGAGTACTGACAGATTTCCATTCTATTGTCTCCGGCTTAATAAAACAGTCTGTTGCTTAAATTGTACGATTTGAAAACTTTGCTTCAATAATAATTTAAGTTGTAAAGTAGCGCTAAAAATAAGTGATTCTTCGTAACTTGCGTTGTCTCACTTTCATTTTGCCTTTGCTACGAATTTCGCAAATACTTTTGGAACTCTTGTATGATTAGGATTACAAATGAATAATGTATTTATATGATTTACTTACAGACGAACCCTGGTCAGTGCGATTCTCAGTGAAATTCTACCCTCCGGAGCCGGCACAGCTGCAGGAAGAACTCACGCGGTATCAACTAGTGCTGGCTGTCAGAAAAGACTTACTTGAAGGTAAGCAAAACAAAGAAAAAGCCACTACCTCTAGAATACTTGACGATGGAGTTGTGGGCACTTTGATTCCAAGGACTTTTTTGAGGATGGAAAGTACTTAAATAACAACCTGGACGGAATAGAAGGGAATGTCAGACTCTTACTAACTAAAAACTACCCTGTTTCAGCGCCAGCTCTATGCCGGGGCGTGTAGGCTAACTTTACTAGAGCGAGAACGTTTGATTATCAGTATAACCCATCTGGTTATGATAAAAGTCACCATTGTGGATACTATAATAATAATAATTTAATTATACGCCTGTATGTCTAGGTCGGCTCCCTTGTTCATCAGTAACGCATGCGTTATTGGCGAGCTACCTCCTGCAATCGGAGCTGGGTGACTACGAGGCGTCGGAGTCGGGTGCCGCGCTGTGCAAACAGCTCAAGCTCGTCCCCGCCGCCGCCGCCACGCCAGACCTCGAGGAGAAAGTCATCGAACTGCATAAGACCCATAGGTATTTTATTAACCTGTAATACTGTCTTTTAAAACCTAGAACCAGTATTCTCCTCCCCCATCCCCTATTCCCTATTCCCCATCCCCCATCCCCCATCCCCCATCCCCAAATTGCCATAAAGCCGTGAGATTGCCATCATCTGTCAGTTATCCGTCTGCACCTTCGCCCCATACAACAAAATAGATGTGAATAAAAAAGTCGAGTCAATAGTCAAAGCGAATGTGGCAAAATATATATATATAAGGTCCGCTATTGAATTGTTAACCATTTAAAGCCATTTTGCACACGAATCCTTAACGTAGTCGTTGCGAAAGCTTATCAATACGACTCTCGTCTACCTATTACGCTTACAATACGACGGCGTGTGCGATGGAGTTAAAAAGTTTTTCTAATAAGTTCATTTGTTACAGAGGTCAGACGCCAGCGGAGGCGGAGCTAAATTACTTGGAGAATGCGAAGAAGCTGGCGATGTACGGCGTGGACCTGCACCCCGCCAAGGACTCCGAGAATGTTGACATCACCCTCGGAGTCTGCTCCTCTGGCCTGCTCGTACATCGGGAGAAGTAAGCATATTGAATAACTTGTAACAAGTGTAGAGTTTGTACTGTACTCGTAACGTAAGTGTAATGAAGATATAAATGACGGGTTTCTCAGGCCAAAATGGGCTAATTAGACATATATTCTAGTTTAAACTATCTAATAAAAAGGTTCATCCAAGCAAGAAACTTCAGTTTCATTTCCTAGTTTATTTCTTCTATCTGCTTGTCTTTGTCAAACCATCATCATTCGAAAGAAGGTACTGAATCTATTTCGATGCAGTTTTAATAAAATTGTACAAACTCAGAGTAATCTGTTACAAAAGTTTTAGGTTTTCTAGGAATTGATAAAAACATATATTGAAAACTAATCTCTTCTCAGACTACGCATCAACCGGTTCGCGTGGCCAAAGATCTTGAAGATCAGCTACAAACGTCACAACTTCTACGTGAAGCTGCGGCCGGGCGAGTTCGAGCAGTTCGAGTCCACGGTCGGGTTCAAGCTCGCTAACCATCGCGCCGCCAAGAAACTCTGGAAGACCTGTGTCGAACATCATACGTTCTTTAGGTAAGTAACTGTAGTTTGCTTTAAAGAGGAGTTCCCATAAGTTTCATGCATAGCAGGCGGGTTGATGATTGCAGTTTAAAAAGATTAGGTTTATCAGAGAGCTCTCGTTTATGTTAAATTATATTAAGTCCCTTAGTCGGTTCTTCCGAAGTTCCGATACCCACGGGGAGAGTAGGGGTGGTAACAAAATGCTTCATAAAACGATGTTGTATATTTCATGTTTGATTATGGATTCTGATATAGCTGGGAACTAGTCAGCCATCCTAAGAGGATGGCTTAAAACATACAAGATGGTTAAACAGCGCAAATGTAATTTGATAGTTTTAAGCTAGTTAGAATAATTATTGTGGTGAACAATAGTGCTCCTTTTCTCTAATATGTGTGTACCCCTGTCCCGCAGACTGATGTCCCCGGAGCCGGCCCCGAAGAGCTCGTTGTTCCCGCGGCTGGGGTCGAGGTTCCGCTACAGCGGACGCACGCAGTACGAGTCGCGCAACAACGCGCCGCAGCGCGCGCCGCCACACTTCGCGCGCACGCTCTCCAACAGGAAGCTCTCCTCGCGCAGCATGGACGGTGCGTACACTCGCTTACACTACTTTTACAGTGCCGAGAATCGATTCATACTTTCTGCCTCGCACAGCTAAAATGATCTGTTGTCGGCGATATTTCCGAACCAATACGACCTTTAAAGCTTAAGAAAAGAGAGTATGAATCGATGTCGACTGTGTCGAATAACCCGTGACTCCACTGGCTAATTTGCCTTCTTGCTATTCCATAAAAAAAAATCGAGCCGACGACGGATCACCTGATGAAAAACAATAAACCACACTATAGAGATTTTATTGTATGGATAGAAAATTATCAAATATCTTTTTCCCACCCTTGTCGAGATGTGAATTAGTGCTTTTATTCTTGCTCCGAGCCGTGGCCTCTATACCTCTTTGCAATCTACCTGCGACCATGACATCGACGGAGTCACAAGTGCAATCGTTTGAAAAGGGTACGCTTTTATTACGATAACTCACACACACTAATGTCCAGAAAATAGCCTAATTACTTCAAACTAATTAGTCATTTATAAAACCGAGCCAATATCTTCATAATCTTCTCCAATCCCTCGAACTAATGATGTCATCAATTCAAAGAAAAATAATTGTAATATGTTGACAAAGGAAACATTGCCAACATGACTGGGTACTGAGATTTGATAATGACTATATTTAAATGTTACTTCATTGCACTGAAACTGAAGTGAAATCTCTCTTGTTGTGTAAGCGCCTGAAAACTGTAATGATGCGTTTTATGACTTGCATTGACGTCACATTTAATTTTGTTAGACACCACCGCGAACATCTTGGCTTTACTATAAAATTCGAACTAAAGAAACTACTAACACTAAAGAATGATATGATAACATACAATTTCTCGTGGAGTCTGTTTGCGATGAACTTAAAAACTGCTGCACCAATTTTGAACTAATTTTCACCAGAAAAGGTTCAAGTGAGAATTTGTAATATCATAGGCGAAACTCCAGGTGTAAATAAAGCTAGTTATACAATAAAACATATTACGAGTCATGGCCAAAACAATTATATGAACTAAACAAGCGTCAATGTACTTGTAGCGGGGTGAAATGGTGATAAATTATGATGTGACCTTGTGTGACGTCTCGCCGTGGCATAGTTGACTCATAAACTGTCATTCTGCCAAACTGATGCAGCGGACGACATTATGTAGTAGGTGATCATTGATGACTAACTTGAAGCTATGTCGTGGTGGCCCGGAGCATTAAGACGCCCGCTACTAACGTGCCGTTCGAAACCTATCAACGGCTAGTACCAATGTGACTTTTTCCGAGTTATATGTACTTTCTAAGATTATTCAGACACCACTGACAAACGGTGAATGAAAACATCGTGAGGAAACCTGAACTTATAATTTCTAATTATAAGTTTAAATTGCCAACCCGCATTGAGCAAGCGTGGTGATTAATGCTCAAACCTTCTCCGTGGTAAAACAGGCTTTGCTCAGCAGTGGGCATTTATAGTCTGTTGATGATGTGGATGATTAAAGCTGTGAATTGGTAGTATTTTTGAAGATTCGAACATGTTATATTCTTGAAGTAATTGTTGAAAGTGTGATGTAATAGTTTGCTAAAGTAGTGTGGCAAAAGCAAGGTGCTAAAATATAACAACCTAAATAGGCCTTATGTTGTCTTAAACCATTGGTCAGTTAATTAACAACTAGAAGCGACTTAGACAGGGCACTTTAAGTCACAGTTCACCATAAGCGCCATCTATGAATACTTAAATCATTATTTTCTAGTGAATTTTTTGTGGAGAGGTTCTGATTCATGACAGATGTAGGTCAATATCTATAAAAACAAACAATTTAACACCTGCTACACATATCCTAATTTCACAATACCATAAAATTAAATTACCCATTCGTACCAAACTGATTTTATACTATTTTTACTACATCCAGCTTTATAGAAGGAAACAGTGACTCAGTATATTGCTTGGAAATCATTAGAAATAGGCCACTGCTGGTTCTTTAACGGATCTATTTATATATTTGATGTTATAGACAGCTATATTGTATTACTAGACATTGTTATAGCATATTTTGAATGTTAAAATACAATAACAATCTATCAACAGCTTCACTAAATCATTTTTACAATATATTTTCAATATAAGAGATTTTGAAAATATATCGTAAGTCTGATTTATTGGGATATGATTTAGATAGGATACACTTAGGTATTTTTATGTTATTTACCCTGCTTCGGTAACTTCACTCACACGACGAAATACAACGCAGGCGTTTCTTCACGCCAGTTTTCTGTTAATGCCGTGCCGAACCATTGCTCTCTTCTCTATAGTATTTAACACAGCCATTACTCAACCTTTGTTTTTACTAGGGCCAAGAAACGCTTCAGTTATGGTATCCCGGGCCGCTAGTGAGAAATTATTAGGTTATAAATAAAACGTAAACCAAAGGTAGCAATGTCCCGGTATATGGCAATAGGCTCACCCCCAATTACATGGGACTCCTAACATAACATAACACACACACAAATTCTTAAATCAGAAATAAATAGTGAAAAGTGGGTGGTACATTGTTCATTGGCATTTAGTGCCGTAATGTGCACAACTGGCTACCTCTTTGGGGATAAAAGGCGTGATGTTATGAGTGTCTTTTAGCTCCGAACCCCCGAATTACTCGTTCTCTTATAACCGCGAAATTTAAAATAGAACGGAGCATAGGAACTTCAAGCGAGCCGATCAAAAAGACCCGCAGGTCGATTAGAGTTAGTTTAACAAAAGAATATTGAACAAAAATGGAGGTTTAATAAAATATTAGAAAAAAAAACCATCTACATTATTTAAAAGGTATTTTTGTGGTTCTTGTACTAAGAAAAATAATTATTACTACAATCTAAACCTAGTAATTTCCCAGTAGGTAACAGATGTACACATTTCCAAACTGTTTAGTTATGATGAATAACAGCTTGAGTGATGCGTGTTGGGTTCGAGCCAAACATATCAGTTATTCGGTACTAAAGAGCATGGAGCATTGAATATGGAGACATGAAGACATCATCATCTTTTCTTACCCCACCTAAAAGGTAGCTTGTGTTAATAAATACGTAATAACAAGCGATAGGCTCACCCCCTGTTACAAGGGACTCATAACATAAATAGTGAAAAGTGGGTGTTACATTGTACAATGGCATTAAGTCCCGTAGTGTGCACCTCTGCCTACCCTTTCGGGGATAACAGAGTGCCAAGAACGAATAAGTATCGCAATCGTAACGTAATAGTATCGAGCGCGTTTGGCGCTCTGTTTGGCCGGCTCAAGTGAACCAACCAATCAGAACGCTTAACTCGCTCGACACTGTTACGATACGAATGCGATAGTTATTCGTGCTTGGCCCTCAGGTGTGATGTTATGTATGTAATAAGAAACAAAAACTTATGTTGCCGATTCGTCTGTTTGTTATTATCTCGAAAACTGAACTTAAAATTTTTAAGAGAGTTATGTTGATGGTTATTATATTTTGAACTCTATAACTGATACTCTGAACAGATAAATTAGTAAATTACATAATTCTCAGTAATCACACAGCAAGTCTTCTACTGAAATTTGCTTTGGATATGAATCTATCTATAAATATCTTTTTAACTTATCTCAGAACTTAGTTAACTTAGTAAGCAGTTAGTACTCGACCAACGTGTAATTGTATATTTCTGTTTATCATTTGAAACCATATTACATACATATAGTAGAATTTGTCTACAACAATTTTTGCATGGCACTCTTTCACATAACACTGACCGACTAGCCACTGCAGATCATAGTAGGAACTATGAAGTAGTAGTTATTAATACAGAGGCGCGGTCAGACGCGGCGTATAAACAAACCGAGTACACTCGCGGCCACTCGTTCGGGTACATCGAAACATGGTGTTCGGGGATTGCTGGAGTAATAGTTGCACATCGGGTGGGTTCCTGTCGTGATTTGGTGATTTAGTGTACAGTGAGATTTCAGTGTTGTTTTTTTTGCGGAGGGAATTTTTGCGTGTGGTTTTGTGGAAGATAGTGTTGTGAGGTTCTATTGAAGGGTTATGTTCAAGTTTTGAGTGTCTAACTTTATCGATTTTTTTTTGAAAAAACCTATTTTTGGTCTGTATTTTACCATTTACAAATCTAAAATAATTAATAAAAATGACTGCGTATTAAACAAAAATGCAGCAACCCCGTGAAACTACTTAATTAGAATTATTTAAAAATTAATTTATCGTGGAGCTTACTCAAGTTCCTCCTATATACAAAAAAGATAATATCATTGCTTCTCGCCACTGCTGGAAATAATTCTTTCCGATAGCACTTCCCGAAACATTTACTGTCCAGCAACATAGTGATTAATAAAATATACCAACCTCCCTTGAACTACAAACTTTCAGTTGTTTCAATTAGCTAACACAACGTAATATGTGTGGTATTCATGATTGTTATTACCGGACCAGTTGCCACGGGTAATGTGTAAACATGGACGATTTATTGCGCACCTACTCCTCCCAGTACAATGTTTTCTAGTTAAAGTATTAGCACTACATATTTATAAAGTCGGGTAAACACTCTGGTTGTTTATTAATCAGCGCCTTGTTGTCTAGTTGGATAGGTAACTTCTGCGAAAATTTGTGTAGTGCTGCAAAATATTATAAGGGTTTTATCTTTAAAGCTTGGCAGAAGTCTGCCTGTTGTGTAAGACATACTCTTAAATTTTAAAATGGTCTTATAAATACGTGTTATAATTATTTTCATAGTTATCTGTAATAAATAACGCAGTAATTAAATTTTATTCAATAACCGTAAAACAGATACTTTCATCTTAAATGTGAACTTCCATAAAATCAGAGTTTATTGCAACTGAATTTGTCCGTTTGTAATTGCATCCGGCGTATTGCAATTTGCAATGAGCCTACCAATAAACATGAGACTAATAAATAAAAGTCGAAATTAAAACTCATTTATCTCAAGTAGACTAGAGAAGGTACTCTTGAACGTTAAACAATAATGAAATTATCAGTCTGTCGGTCAGTCCACTTGTGAAGCTAGCGAAGCTATTTGCTCGTTCCAAAACGTAGATTCCTATGGAGAAGAACGAGCAAGAAACTCCATAGGTTAAGAAACCCTTTTGAAAATACAATACGGGAGTGTCAGACTCTTACTCACTAAAAACCACTCCGTTCCTACTCCTACACTTCGAGCCGAAGCCCTGGTAACCCGCCCGGAGTGTCCTTCGCGATGGCTGGGTTGCGAGGAGGCAGCGCTTCGGTGCCTCACGCGTCCCGCCTCCTCCTTAGCTAGCATAACTGCTTCGCAAAAGGAGGAGACGGCATCCTAGCCCCCCTCGCTCCGCATCATGGCCCGCACTAGGGCCGGACGCGAGAGGTGTCCATTAAAACCCTAAAGATAAAAGACAAATTCCCTAAAGATCTAACTACATATCATCATAGTCCTATTTCCGTCCACAGCTGGTCATAGGCCTCTCAAATTAAATACAGTAGCCCATTATAAATAGGTTTATAGTCCGGTAACCTAAATAAGTAGTTTTATAGTCAGTCCGGCTATGTAAACAATAGACTATCTAAGAGTCTAGCCATTCTAGTACTTAGATGATAACGTCATGGTCTCTATTTAGGTATGACGTTTTATTGCGTCGAAAAATGTTAATAGTGTAGTTGATAATTAGGTACAGCGTCATCATTTTATACGATTAAGGTTTTGTGGTATTTTTAACTACTCTTTTTAAAGTTGTATTAGTGTAGCGTTTACGGTTTAGTATATATGTTTGTTATATATAACACACAACATCACGCCTTTTATCCCGGAAGGGGTAGGCAGAGGTGCACATTACGGCACTTAATGCCACTGTAAAATGAAACACTTACTTTTCACTAAGTTATAAGTCCCATGTAATAGCGGGTGAGCCTATTGCCATATACCGGACACAATTCCAGACTCCGTGCTACTACTGATAAATGTTGTTTGTTAGATCAGAATGAAATCATGTTGATGTTGACGAATTTCAATTGGTAATTAGTAAAGCTTGGGTTCAGTATCTGAATATCTCTATGAGATACAGGGTAGGATAGAAGATTCATTGAGATACAAATTAGGTCTTGGTGATCTTTGCAATATATATTCTTTATTAACATGGTTAGCTAGGAAGAAGAGAGTTATTGATCCTAATTAATTTTTATCAAGCATTATTCAGTATAGTTCACCAATACTTATTGGAAAACTTTAAAATATTTATAGAGGTTACAAGTGTACGTACAAACACAATTAATTCTCAGAACGTTCCCATCAATCATTGTATGTATTTCATTCAGCTGATTGGTTATGATAAACATTGCGAACTAAACATTGCATCCTGAGGAAGTGTACCGATAAACAATAAAGATGCAGGAACTATTTATTACTTATATAATCGTGTGTTGCAAGAAACGTGGAGCTCCTAGAATTACAGTTCGCGTAACTACACGAGATTTAAGTGAAGTGGTTGAAAGATTTCTTGATGACCATACTCAATAACGTTGTTTCACTAGTCGGTCTAATCTGGGTTATCAAAAGAGCTTAGGGAAAACAAGTAAAAGATGTGTGTTTTAGTGCAATACCCTTTTTAAGGGTGAAAAGTCATCAAATGACTGGTCCTACCCGGTTCCCGTGGGGTGGTTTTTAGTCAGTAAGAGTCTCACCCAAGCGGGAGTAGTCATTCGATGATTTTCCCCACTTAAAAAAAACCCTGGTTCCCGTACCATAGTGTCCTTTCCCATATAGGTATCGTGGCTTAAGCATAAGTATTGCATATTGTTAGTCAGTAAGAGTCTGATACTCCTTTTCACCTCGCCCAAGGGGAGGAAATCCTAATGCTTAGGATTTCCCCCCGATAGTAGGGTTATATTTAAATAAAGCGAATATTAACTTTTAATATTATTTTCACAGCGTTGGCAGCCGGGGAGAAGGATGAATCAATGCCACCGGACGCGGCTAAGCGCCACACCATGCCGCCGCAACCAGCGCCGCGACCCACCATCAAAGACAAGGTAACATATCACCACTCTGATACCTAACACACACATAGATGTAAACACATTTGTATACTATACAGCATGTTTGTAAAAACTTAGGGTTGGCAAACTAACCGGTTACCTTAGTTGAGAAGGTTTTGTCAAAAATTTGTACTGGAATTGTTATGAAGTAAGGAACTTAAATAGTTTTTTTTCATGACTTTAAATAAAATATTTTTTTTGATAGTTCTTTTCAAGTTATCTTCATCGCATTGACTAGTTTATATATTATTCTGTAGTCAACAAGTCGCAATATAAGTAAATATAATGGGGTAGACGACTAATTTTTATTTTAATGTCCGTCTGATAGATTATTTAAAAACATTAGACACGTATTTTTTATTTTCTCACAGAAACGAATAGTTTCGAAGATATATTGATTTGAAATGTCGCGTGACGTCACTTCTCAGTACATTTTATACTAAGGAATGACGTTTTAGCCCCCACTCCTAAACTTTGATTCGTTTTATCTAAGTATTGTTTTATTATACGACAAAATAAAAAAATACGTGTCTAATATTTTTTCATTACCTAACTTACGGACTAATTATATTTTTAATTTTCATACCCTGTCATCATCCCCATTAGGATTGATTAGAATGTGAAGTATCGAGAATCAAAGATTTATATAAAACCCAGATGTTTGGCAACCCTAGAGATGCATTCAGTCGAATGTTTATTCTTCAAGAGAGTAGTAGTGACCGAGCTTCATACCTTTTTTAATTAAAAGTATATCCATCCATAAAGTCATACTAAACTGAGTGCATCTCAAAAATATAAAGCTATGTTAACATTTAAATGTTAAAGTAGCTTAACATATAACTAGTGTTTAACAAAATATTGTGATTAACAGTCTGATAGCGCATACAAGACGGTTGCAAAATACAACGAATAGTACGATGATCTCAGTTTTCTTAACATGAATATATTATGTGTAGGTACCTACTCTAAGGCCGGTATTTATAGAACGGTACTTAAGTCGAGATCTCTTCTCAAGTAAATTTTCATAAACTGTGTTCAAAAATACTGAACTTACTACTTAAACCGAACGATACGTAACGATACTTAAACCTCCTATTTTGAAATTCTGCCCCAAGGTATAGCAAATATTTTTCTAAAAATCGCTCAAAATCGGTCCAGATAATCGCGGGCAAACATACACACATACAGGTCAAACTGAGAGCCTCCGTCTTTTTAAAGTCGGTTAAAAAGGGATGCAAATACACTCAACAGATACGTGCATCCCTTTCTAACTATACTTGAACACAGACTCCGCTTGAGTATAGTTCTGTAATACCGGCCTTAAATACAATTATGTGGGGTTAGGTCACCACTTTAGAAACTAGTATGTATTTTACATACTAGCAACTTAAATCTAGATTTATAGGTCGTAATGTGGTCTAAAATCTAAATTGGAGCGTTTTATTAACATGCAATATCAATAAACACCTTTATGATTATGCTATGTACAAAATAACCCGATGACTAACGTACATAGATATTTAAATAGTGCTAATAAAACCACAGGTGACTACACAGAATAAACTTCAATATTAGTCATGGTTACTAAGATGAGACGTAGATTATATTTATTTTAAAATAACCTCTAATTGACTTACGATGTTAGCAAGTAACATTCATCTAGTTTTTACATGTTTACGTACGTACGTATGTGCTATCAGACAAACTACATAATTATACATGTTGCAGCTAACTAGCTAAATAAGGCGTTTTAATAATGGCCTATGACTAGTCAGTTGATTGAATGGCTGAATTTCTCATTCATGCCGTTTTTTAAAGGGTGAAGGGTTTTCACTAAAACTGTTACCAGAATTGTACTGTGATATCGTTTATTAAACAGGCTCGCGCCGTTAATTGAATGCCTTAGTGAACTAGCTGGTTGCGACATATACATAAAACTTGTATTTAGACTAACCCTACATATAGAAGGCATGGTGATATCATACCATAATAGATAATATACGAAAATAGCACGACCTGGCGTCATTTACATCTCGTAAATTAAGCTGTATAGTCTGTAACAGGGATGGCGAGCCTTTGACACGCAACACTATATTTAGGAAACGTTACTGATCACCTTTATGGCCAGCAACACATTTGTGATGTCTCTGACATTCCAGATGTACTGTGACCAGCAGACTCGGTCTTCTTTTTTCGTTGATTTTCGTTTTGTCATAAAGACTATAAAGTTAAAAATGGAATAAAGGAGTTTGACAGAAAGAAGTAGGTTAACATGTTGGTCAATGTACTTTCGTCACTGTAATCGCTGACCATTGTGTCAATAGTAAAAAGTCAAAATTATGTATGGCAAGGAGCATTGAGAAAAACGCCATGTTGATGCGTAAAGGTTCGCCATCCCTGGTCTATAAGAATCATTTGACACAGTTTTCGTACTCTCATTATACCGAATATTACGGTCAGTCGGTTTATTAGTGAATTATGCCCGGTCAACGTACGACTACTAACAACGTTTATTATAATACATTCGATTCGATTGATATTAATACCATACCTAGATGTTTTCTTCGTTTCATCTCTCTACTAATCTCATGTTTCATTATAACTAATGTTGCCAGATTTGTAGCTTGAAATTAGGTCCTTTTTTGTTGAGTTCATGGTAGAAGAAAATTATAATGCGTGTACCTCTATGGTAAAACAAATAAAAATATAACCTTTGAGACCCTAGCACCTAGTGTTTTGTAGCTATTCTTTATTGACTGATCTAAATATTCTAGTTTAGTGCTTACTGAATTAATCTAAACAAATAAAAATAAAAATGTTCTCAATGTGTGTAGCTAAGTACATAACTCAAGAATGGCTGCACCAAATTAGATACTTAATTATTTTTTAGTTGTGCTTGTTATTTTCGTTAGGGCGTCGTACCTATGAAGCCAGGGCGGGCCAAAAGTAATAAATAAATAAAATTACTGAAATTCGCGAACTATGTCATAGTTACGTAAAGCAGTAGGCACACATCTGGCAACATATGCACGTACTAACGGGTGAGTGTCGCACGCGGCCGGACAGCTGCGGCGGCGCTCGGGCGGCACGGCCAGCGCCTCCTCCGCGTCCTCGCTCGAGGGGGAGTACCTCGCCGACAAACACGACAAGGTGCTACACATACACCCACTCCCACCATCTTCTACCATCTCCCACTACTTCCTACAACATTCATTGCCCCACCTTGACACCCTTCCCACTCTGAGCTCGTTCGCATACAAAGCGTGAAGTAAGCGTATCGCTGTATCGCAGGTGTACCGCAAACTCGTCATAAACGTACCGTAAACTTGTAGCTAGCTTACCGCAGGCGTATCGTAGCGTAGTGTTGAGAGCAAAATGTACAATGGCTTGTTTAAAAATCTTCGTATCCGTGTTGTTTTTTGTTCTTCTGCTATCCTCATCATATTGTTATGATACGTTTTGTATGCGAATGACTTAATACTCGCTTCAGTAGCTTGAAAAAATTGAAATTATTATCAAAATTGTATATTCTCGTAATTTTGTTTATATTGTCAGTAAAAATTTTGTAAATTCGAAACGATATAATTGGCTTTATGTGTTTAGCTCTCGCGTCGTATTTATTGTATTAAGTATGTATTATTCGAACGCATAAACATAATAATCACGGCAGTGGAAGTAGTTCAATTACGTAAAATCAAGGCTTTTCTTTCAGCTTTACATTAACAAAATCTTTTCTATTAATGATCAAAACATACATTTAAAAGTAAATTAAATGTAGACAGATATACAATTCGTTCAGTTATATTTTCTAGTCTAGTGTAAAACCTAACCATTTCCCATCTTTGATGCATACCTTTGTAGTACTCATTTATTAAGTAGTTCTTTCTATAATTTTTCTACCTCTATTTATTACTCTTGCGTGTTCTTTACACTATTTTATCATAATACTTCTGTCATGCATACTCATTCATTGTAAAATATAAATTCAGCTTACAATATTTTCAAAAGCTTACTTATCTACTCAAAATGTAAATAAACTTGTCCAGAACGCCATTTTGTATTTATTTTTATTATGATTGAGTTAATTAAAAATTATTGTTCGTATGATTATAGAAGCCACCTCCAGGAGCGGTGAAGGTGATGCCCACAGCCCCTCCAGACAAGAAGGATGAAAAGAAAGCCTTGGAGCAAAGGAAACCTGCTGAAAATGGTGAGCATATTTTATCTTATACTATTATATTATGTATAAAGCCGAAGATTTTGTTTGTTTGCGCTAATCTCAAGAACTACTGGTCGGATTTGAATTGTTTTTTGTGTTGGATAGTCCATTTATTGAAGAAGGCTATAGGCTATAAAATATTGCGCTACGATGAATAGGAGTCGAGCAGAGCGGGTGAAACCGCGTGAATAGCTAGTTAATGATATACTTATTCTTCAACTCTTGTTTAGTACAATTACTTTAGTATTGGAGATTAGAAAAGTGTACAGTTACTAAAAACTTTGCCAATGTTTGTAAACAACATTTTTGTGTAATTACTGTCTGGTCGTCAGTCTTTCAGGAATGTTGTATACACTTGGTTTCTCTCTCGATTTTTCTCAGAAACGTAAACAAACTGCCCGTCTAACATTAATCAAGCTAACGATGTAACTATACGTGTGGTGTGCTCGTTCCAGGTACAGACACGACCAGTGACCCAGGTATCACAAACAACGTCGACACTACTCCTAAGAAGTCCAAGGTGAGTGTTGTGTGTACAGCATTAATACCGCAATACTATCTCAATGTTCATACAAGCAAGAATGGTAGACTCAAAGCATTTTATCAACTCTGTGATGTCGACAATAGTAGATCTTAGTGTATCATACAATTTCAATGTAAATATGAATGTTAGCCCAGCAATTAGACATGCATGCATGATGCATAATGCAATGTTTCCTATTTTATTCGCGGCTGTGTAAGGCAGTTGTCCAACGAGCACTGTTATACTTTTGTTAATTTTATTTTTTGTTTCACCCCTCCCCCTTTCCCCAAAGACCGGAGGATTCGGACTGTTCGGTGCTAGAAAGGATAAGTCGCCTAAAGAAGAGAAATCACCCAAAGACAAGTCTCCGAAAGAAAAATCACCCAAAACGAAAGATAAGGTCAAAGACCCGAAGATTAAAGTGGCCGCGCTTGATACGTCCAATGACAGTTCCAATCTCGATAGTTCACTTGACAAGAGCCCTTCGAAGGGCGACGAAACCTTCGTTCACCAAACCGTACGAATACACTGACACTGAGAAAAGCCCCACTCGCACCAAGCCGTTCATCCAAGGTGCGTTCAGTTACGAGAAGGAGCCCATATCTGATGAGAAGCAACGGGCTTTAGATGACAGCCAAAGCCCCACGACCAGAAAAGCTGGCCTTGCTTTCAACTACGCCCCTGGAGAAGATAAAAAAGTCGCAGAAAGCGCAGAGAAGCGCAAAACACCAGAGGATCCTAGCAAGCTTAAGACGCCAGGACTGGATTACGTGCAGTCGGCAGCTCTGAAGGAACAAGCTAAGAACTTAATAGATCCTACTCTAGCCTTACTCGACTCTGAAAGATCTCATCATGAAGCGCCTGCGGCTTTACCTGTGGTTGCAGCTAAACCAGACAATGAAATCCAAGTAGTCATTATAACTGGTCGCTATAACCCTAAGTCGAAGAAACTCGATGATGCAAATGGCACCATTTTGGTCACCAAGGGAACATTGAATAAAGCCAATGGCAAAATTCAAACAGATAAAGAACTTATTAATACAAAATCTGGACAAGTCAGTTACACAGACCCTGCTACAGGCAAGCAAGAGGTCAAGAATGGACATGTTGACAAATCAGGACACATACTTTTCACCTCGGGGGTCATTGACCCTAAGACGGGCAAGATTGACCCAACGTTGGCTCAACAATATTGCTTTGTTGAAAAATCCGCAGACAAGGTTGGAGCCAAGCCAGGACGTGAAGTCGACTTAGTTGTTATCACTGGCAAATATGACGGTAAGAATAAGAAACTCGACGCGTCTCATGGACACGTAGACGTTTCCAGGGCAGTGGTTGGTCCAGACGGCAATGTTGCCTCAAATTACGGCGTCATTGACCCAAGAACAGGCAAGATTGATTATATCGATCCCAAATCTGGCAAAGAAGAACCTAAACAAGCTTACGTTGATCAGAAAACTGGAAACATTTTAGTTACAACAGCTGTTGTAGATCCCAAATCTGGCAAGGTCGACTCCTCGCTTGGTCAGCAGTTCAGCATAGTAGAAAAGGATGCGACCAAAGCAAACCGTGAAGTCAGACTAGTAGTTGTCACTAGCAAATACGATCTTAAGACAAAGAAATTAGAACCAACATTCGCTCACGTAGACTCTGTCAAGGGAGTTCTGAGTGGGACTGATGGTAAAATCTATACAGAATACGGTACCATTGATCCAAGAACTGGAGAAATACATGTCACTGATCCTAAGACTGGCAAACAGGAGACCAAACATGCAACAGTCGATCCCAAGACTGGAAATATTCTGTTATTGTCCGGAGTTGTAGACCCGAGAACTGGTCAGTTAGACACTTCGCTAGGACAACAGTATAGCATTGTCGACAAACCTATCGATACTTTTGCTAATTGCTCTGGGAAAGAAGTGCAGGTTGTTGCCATCACAGGCAAATATGATTCCAAGGGTAAGAAGTTGGATAATCCTAATGGATTCATAGAAACTTCTCGCGCCATCATTAGTGACAAAGATGGTAAAGTCCACTCAAACTTCGGAGTACTGGATCCCAATAACGGCAAAGTTTACTTTACTGACCCTAAAACAGGTAAGCGTGATTCTAAACAAGCCACAGTTGATCCTAAGACTGGAAGCTTCATACTTACATCTGGGGTCATTGATCCTAAGACCGGCAAGACTGATACATCCCTGGGACAACAATTGACAGTGGTCGATAGGGACGCTCCTAAAGGCATTCCTGAAAGGTATGCCAACTTGGTAATCGTCACATCAAAGTATGATCCTAAACACAAGAAATTGGACATCACCAATGCGCATGTCGACAGCTTCCCAGGTAAATACGACAATGATGACAAAGTCCACACTGACTTCGGTGTAGTTGATCCGGCTACCGGTGAAATAATTATCACTGACCCCGTCACAGGCAAACAGGAAGTAAAGAAGGCTGCCGTTGATCCTAAGACTGGCAATTTACTTCTCACATCAGGTGTTGTTGATCCTCAGACTGGCAAAGTTGATCCCACATTGGGACAACAGATCACAGTTGTAGACAAGCCCAAGGACACGTTCCCATCAGTGGCTGGAAAGGAAGTACAACTTGTGGTGATTACCAGCAAATATGACTCGAAATACAAGAAGTTGGACAGCCCTAACGGAAATATTGAGACGTCGCGTGGTGTCGTTGCTGCTGACGGAAAAGTTCACTCCAACTTCGGAGTGATTGACCCCAAATCCGGCAAGATGGAATATGTCGACCCTAAAACTGGCAAGCAGGAGCTCAAACAAGCTGTTGCTGATCCTAAGACTGGTCATTTGATCGTTTCTTCTGGAGTTGTAGACCCAAAGACAGGAAAAGTTGACTCTTCCTTAGCGCAGCAGTTCGCCATCGTTGATAGAGATAGAGTGGCACCTGAACGATATGTCAACCTCGTCATTGTCACATCCAAATACGACCTTAAGAACAAGAAACTAGACCTTGCTAATGCGCATGTCGATAGCGTACCTGGCAAGGTGGGTGCAGATGACAAAGTGCATACAGCATTTGGTATTGTTGACCCGAGCACTGGTGACATCGTAGTAACTGACCCAGTTACAGGCAAGCAGGAGGTCAAGAAAGCTACAGTCGATCCCAAAACAGGCAACCTTCTACTTACGTCATCAGTGGTTGATCCTGTGTCAGGACATGTTGATCCTACGCTAGGACAACAGATCAGCGTTGTAGACAAACCTAAAGACAGCTTTGCTGCTGTACCTGGTAAAGAAGTGCAGCTGGTTGTGATCACCAGCAAATACGATCCCAAGACTAAGAAACTCGACAATCCCAATGGCCATGTCGAGACATCTAGAGGTATCCTCGCCGCTGATGGAAGAGTACATACCAATTTCGGTGTCATTGACCCGAAGACTGGAAAGATTGAACATGTTGATCCTAAGACCGGTAAACAAGAGATTAAACAAGCGATCTCTGATCCACAATCAGGACATTTGATACTAGCTTCAGGAGTAGTTGACCCTAAAACAGGAAAGACCGACTCGAGCCTTGCCCAGCAGTTCTCAATTGTAGACAAAGATGCACCTAAAGAAAGATACGTTAACTTGGTTATTGTGACAACTAAATACGATCCTAAGAGTAAGAAGCTAGACCTCATCAATGCTCATGTAGACTCAGTACCCGGAAAGATCGGTGCTGATGGTAAAGTTCATACCGAATTCGGTGAAGTAGACCCAACTACTGGCGACATCACCGTTAAAGATCCAATCACTAGAAAACGTGAGACTAAAGTAGCTACCATTGATCCCAAGACTGGTAATCTCCTTCTGACTTCCGGTGTGGTTGACCCTCAAACCGGGCAAGTTGATCCCAACTTAGGACAACAAATAAGTGTTGTTGACAAACCTAAAGACACCTTCACACCAGTTCCTGGCAGAGAAGTTCAGCTGGTCATCATTACTTCAAAATATGATCTTAAGAACAAAAAGCTTGACAACCCGAACGGTCACATTGAGACGTCACGAGGTATTGTTGCCGCTGATGGCAGAATTCACACCAACTATGGCATAATTGATCCGAAGACAGGAAAGATTGAACACATTGATCCTAAAACAGGCAAACATGAGACGAAACAAGCCGTGGCTGATCCTGGCGTAGGTTTCAAATCAGGTAATCTTCTTATAACCTCTGGTGTCGTAGACCCGAAGACCGGAAAACCAGACTCATCGCTCGCTCAACAATTTACGATTGTCGAGAAAGAGACGAAACCTGTCGAAAGAGAGATTCATCTTGTCATTATTACCACGAAATACGACCCGAGGACTAAGAAGATTGATCCTAGCCAAGGTCATGTTGACACTATCAGTGGTGTACTTGGAGCTGATGGAAGGATCCGAACAGCTGTTGGTATCATCGACCCTGCGACTGGAGAGATCGTCGTTACTGACCCTAAGACCGGCAGACAAGAAGTCAAACGTGCTCAAGTACATCCTGAAACTGGACATATGGTTATTTCAAGCAATGTAGTCGATCCCCAAACTGGAAGGGTTGATCCTACATTAGTGCAACAATACAGCATTGTCAACAAACCAGTCGTACCCTTCACGAAACCAACTTCAAAGGGTGAGGTGCGTCTGGTAATCATTACCAGTAAATACGATCCTTACACTAAGTCAGTGGACGCTAATGCAGGAAACATCGAAGCTGCTAAAGGTTATGTTAGCGCTGAAGACGGCAAGATTCACACAGACTTTGGTATTATTGACCCAAGATCTGGTCAAATCCTCTACAAAGACCCGATAACCGGCAAACAAGAGCTGAAACAAGCTGAAATCGATCCTAAGACAGGAAACCTGATAATAACTACCGCCGTAGTTGACCCCAAGACTGGCAAAGTAGAACCCTCATACGCGCAGCAGTTGAGTATTGTTGATAAGCAGAATGTGTTGTCTAAAGTAGCGCCAGTGTCACAGAGAGCTAGCGTGTCCCCTGCCAGGCAGGTCCCATCGCCTGTAAAGACCCCGGCCCCCACACCAGTACAGACACCACTGCAATCTCCCGTCCGTACATCATCACCCATTACCAGCTACGCTCAAAAATCATCACCACTCACACCGACAGTTAAATCACCAGTAAAACCGACTTCAGCACCTCCAGAACCACCTAAGAGGAAGATTGTTAAGATCATGGTTGTCTTTACAAAACTCGATCCTAAGACTAAGAAGCCTGATCTTCATACCGCTGAAGTGGAACATCTCACTGGCATTCTTGACCCCAATGGATTGATTGAAACTAAGTACGGTGTAATTGATTCCAATACTGGAAACATAGTTATTACTGATCCTGCTGGTCAGAAGCAGACCCGCGAAGGCTACGTATTGACTGAAACTGGACAAATCTTTATCAACTCTGGTGCAATTGATCCTAAAACAGGCAAAATTGATCCTAATTTAGGCATGATCCTCAGTGTTGCTAAACAAGAAGATCCAGTAGTCGAAATCACAACAATTACTGGTCCCATTGACCCTAAAACAGGTAAAGTAGACATTGACAAGGGCACAGTAGAACACACTAAAGGTAAAGTTGACGCTGAAACTGGTCACATTTCCACTAAATATGGTGTCGTCGACCCTCAAATGGAGTTATATTTGTTACAAATACCTCTGACGCCAAGCTGTCCATATTGATGAGAATAATGGCCTCATTACTATCAAAGGTGTCGTAGACCCGAAGACAGGCAGACCTGATCCTAACCTAGGACAGGTTATTGTTGTCGGAACTCACATCGACCCAGTGGTTGAAGTGACCACATTTGTTGGAAAACTTGATACCAAGAAGGGACTCATCGAACCCAAACATTCACTAGTAGAAAGCAGTACCGGTCAAATCAACCCTGACAATAACAAAATTGATACCAAATTCGGACAAATCGATCTTGTCAAGGGAACTGTTACGTACAATGATCCCAAAACAGGCAAGTTTGAAAGTAGGGAGCTCAAGGTTGACCCCGTTACTGGTCAGTTCTTACTGAAGACTGGACAGATCAATCCTAAATCTGGAAAGCCGGATAAGGACGTCGCTAGAATGATTTGCTTGAGAATCATTAAGAACAAGATTGATCCCGTGTCTGGCAAACAAATTGTATCAAACGATCCCAAGAACGTTAAAGTTGATCCTAAGACCAACCAGATTTGGATCGCTGGACCTAAAGACCCAGTGTCCGGTGAAGTCATTTACACAGCTGGTCAGGTCGACCCTGTCACCGGTTACATCATCTCAATTTACGGTCGTCTCGACCCCAAGACTGGTATTATCGTCAGAACACATGATGTTGACAAGTCACTCATTAAAGTTGACCCCGTCAATGGACAAATCTACACCGCGACTGGAGAAGTTGATGAAAACAACCAACCTCTATACTCTGCGTCACAAGTCGATCCCAGCACTGGTGAGATTTACACCAAACTCGGCAAAATCGATCCTCAGACGGGTAGGTTGATCATCATTAAGATCTATATCATCACACAGAAAGACGACAAAGGAAGAGTCAAGGAAGTCGATCCCAAGGAATGCACCATCGATGAAACAACTGGCAGAATCATCACGACGAAAACAGTGTATTTGTACCAGATCATTGATCCCATTACTGGAGAAACTATCGACGTCGACCCAGACGACCCGAGGTTGAAGGGCGCGCGCACAACTGTCACACAAACTATGACGTTATCAGGCAAGATCGACCCTGTCACAGGCAGGATTAAAACGGAATACGGAGATATCGATCCCGACACAGGCGACATAGACCCCAGCACGGCCGTCAGAGACCCGGTCACCGGACAACTCATTCTCCACTACTCACAAATAGATCCCTCGCACTTCGAAGACAAGAGTGGAAACTACACGATAGAGAAAGAAACACAAGACTTGCCGGCCAACATCGACATACAGACGGTGAACACGCATAAGTTCTCTACTTTCGGCAAGGACGAGAGTCCGCTGAGAGGAGACGAACCTAAGACGTTCACCGAGTACACGACGAGCGAGCACATACGGCACCAGGGCTACGTGTCGTCATCCACTCCTATATCCTCCAAGATCCCGGTTTCACAGCGCTCTAAGAAGACGCCGACCCCTCCCGTCGTGGTGAAGACCACCACCAAACAGCTCCTGACGAAAAATGACGAGGGCGTCACACACAATGTGGAACAGGAGGTCGAGAACCTCGGCACCGGCGAGGTCACCTTCTCCACACATACCAACAAGGTGCGTTTCATTCTCATTCTCAATTTCCAATAACCGGCACTCAAGACGCCACCCTGATTTATTTTTCATGTCGTTTTCTTTTTTTAATTATTTTGTACAGCGTGTGGCCTATTTTTTTTTCTTATCGTTTTTCCAATTCACGGCTTACGTAGTATCAATGTTAGATTTTTGTGTATATAGTAAATGCATGCTAGTCTAACCCTAACTAGGCGGAAAGCCTTGAGCCGATGGAGGGTCCCGGCAAGAGTCCATACGTGACGGCGCGCGCGGTGACCACGCGGACCGCCACTACTCACCACGATCTAGATACCAAGGCCAAGACGCAGCAGATGGAGGAGAAGACAGTGGCGCACACACTCACTTCGTCCGCCACCAGGCAGGAGCAGCGCGTGGTCACGCAGGAGGTCAAAACCATGGTGACTACTGGCGACCAGGTACGATCATGACATTATTACTTGGGAAGGCATTCTCATTGTTTTAATAATTCAATCATTAGCATGTTAATGGAGTTTTGTTTCATGATTTGTTTGAATTTTGTTTCTATTATGATTTCTCCAATTAATTTTTCATTTGATGTTTTTTTGATTTCGCTTTACCATGGCAGCCTTTTTGACACGCGAAAGTGCTGTTGTTTTAAACCGCTTGAAACCGGCGATGCTTTGACAGCGCTTAGCAATGCTTCGAAAACAAAAAAAATCACGCGTGCGTGGAAGCATGTTGTTATCGCCGCTTGGCACCAAGTAGGCGAAGTATAAACGAGTAAAAATTAAGATATTGAAAAGAAAAACAACGAATATTAATAAGTATATTGTTAAAAAGCTGTCATCATATTTTGATTGCATGTTGAACTTTGTTCTAATTACATTTTTTTCTTTTTCCCCCATCCCATATCTACATCGAACGGACATGACCTGGTAATGCATCTAAACAAACTCTTAAACCGGCATGACATTACTAAACTATTCAATTCACACACTATGTGGTAACCCCACTGATTCCAACTGGAAATATAACACCAACGAAATGTGATAACTTCGCCAACATTTGGCAAACACCATTCTGTGGTAATTCACCAACATTTGGTTTACACAATCATGTAATAACTCACTGGCCGATGTGTGGCCAATATCATCCACGTCACGATTGTTGGCGGTCATCGAGCAGCTAACTAGACGCGGGTCAGAGTCCTCGGTGAGCAGTGGTGACTCGGGCACTCCCATCGACTTTGACGAAGGAGCTGGTGAAGGACATTACTACGTCACGGTGAGTGTCAAGCGCTGACAGCAATTTTGTCACAGTTATAACTACCTGAAGCGCTTTATTGTCACTTGTCTACAAGTACTTAAAAAAATGGTATTTTAGTATTTTATTGGGTGATCTAAAAATTAATAAGTATAAATTGTAAAGCATCTATATTTTTAAAATTGGCAATTAATTAGAAATTACAGCAACACGCAGTGTTTTGGGGGTGGGCACTATACAAATTGTTCTTACATGTCAAATTATATACAGCACTGTACTATGTATTTACTATTGAAATGTATTAACTAACTTGTTAAATATCTATATACTTTCAGGGTAGAGTAGACGGTAGTCGTGTGTGTGTTGTGTTCATAGAACATTTTAAAATTTTTGATTCCTTATATAAAGATATTTGTCCCAAAATATGAATGTATAGCATGAGTGTGTGTGCATGTTGCATTATGTACTGTTATGTGACTGTCTGATGCATTTTTTTATATATAATTTTGTATTATTACACACAAGGTATAGTACAGGTTTTTTTTAATATATCATTTATTTTCCAAACATTATTTCTATTTTTATTTATTGTTATTTTATATATTTTCTAATCTATTATAAATTCCTCTGTTATTTTAAAATAAAAATGAAAATATAAGTTTGATGTCCAGTGCCCGTTTTCACCAACTTCGAAATTTTAGGGTACCCTTAACATAAGTGTCATTTAACTTCATTTTGATTATATACCTATAGTGAAACCTAGTAACTTTTAATAAAGAGATGATATAGCGGAAGTTGGTGAAGATGGCCATACGTTCACGTCTGATGTTTATGTAATTGATATGTACATAATATTATATGATATAATACTGTAAATAATATAAAGTGGGGTATGTATATAATCGTGTATGGTGGTACAGGAGCCGGGCTCGTACAAGACGACGACAACGAGCACGGTGATGGGGAACGCGCCATTCGGCAGCATGGTGCACGGTGCTACCACTAGGGTGAGTTCGCATTACTGGTCCATTCTATTGTTATTAATTATAATTACTAGCTTGTACCTGCGTGAATTTTACATTAAAGGGTCTTTGTCCTTCTTTGTACTACCAAACTGTAAGAATCTATTTCAAGACGATAGGTTGTATGTAGAGGTAATAAGCCAATTCACTTTTGCATTAATAATATCTTTTTTATAATAACTATTGTGAGACATAATAAATTAACTAAAAATCGCTGGTTACTCACGTAAATATAATTAGAAAAGTTTTAGTTTCGAACCATAGAGTTCTTCCTCATGATCAGCGGTCGCGCAGCCTACTGGCTAGCGTTGGCGGTCGCATCGCATTTTTAGTTAATTCAATAAAATCTGTTATTTACTGCTGTTTATTGCTTCGCAATAGTCATGCTTAAATCAAACTTTTTGAACGTCAAAGACTGTTATATGCAATTCAGAAACGAGGGACTTAAAATTAATATTTCATAGTCAAACTATTAATTTCAATATTCACATAAACGACAATTTTTAAACATCACAGTACGACTGTCCGTCAGAGATGCTGAATTTTACTATTAACCAATTAGAAACTATTCAATTATTTTAATGGAAACAATGTGCCAAGAACAGATCATCGTATTTATATTACAGTACATTATATTCTATCCAATACAAAATAAAGTACAATATCATCTGAATGACCACCAGATGAATATCGGTCCAATAAATAGCAACTAAGATTCTATCTAACACATCATAAAGCTGAATATTGCTTGTCACCAGACGAGTACGGGTCCTGTAGTGACGGAGCCGGTGGAGGTGACGGAGACGGAGGAAGTGCTGGCGGACGGAGAGGTTGTCTCCTCGCAGACCATCAGCTCTAAGACGCGCACCGTCGAGACCATCACCGTATGTACACCAGTTTATTTATCTATGATGATATTATTATTAATCTCTTATGTGTTTCTTACTTCGCAATTAGGTTGAGTAGAGTCGTTAATCGACTAGTCGCAAGACTTCCAAGTGTCTGCTGAGCGAGCATAGGTCTGTGTTTCCATTACCTTGACTAGCACAATATTTATGTTTTTTTATTATTTTTTTAAATAATAGCTCAAAATCAAACTATATCCGGTGTCTCCCTAACATCACGCCTTTTATCCCCGAAGGGGTAGGCAGATGTACACATTAAGGCACTTAATGCCACTGTACAATGTGACTTACTTGACTTATAGTTCTATGTCCCCTAGATGGGGCAGAGGGCGTCCACAGAGGTTCTCCATCTCGATCGATCTTGAGCTTCTCGCTTCACTTCGCTCCACGTCATTCCGATGCTCGCCGCTCACATTTACGGCACTTAATACCACTGTATAATGTAACACCCACTTTTCACTTTTTATGTTATGAGTCCCATGTAATAGGGGTGAACCTATACCGGGCACAATTCCAGACTCCATACTACCACTGAGAATTTAAAACTAAAACAAGCCAACTTAATGCCTAAGGGTGTTACATTGCATTTATGGACCTCAGTCTGCTACGGGACTAATAGTAATTATAGTTGTCAAACCCGCTACTCCCATGACAGTTGTATATCACGCTACGTAACATATTGCAGTACAAGACGGAGCGTAACGGTGTGATCGAGACACGCGTGGAACAGAAGATCACCATCCAGTCCGACGGGGACCCCATCGACCACGACCGAGCACTCGCAGAGGCTATACAGGTAATATATGATGCACAGAATAAACAACCTTATTTTATAGATGTCAAGTTCTTTTGTAGATGAATTAAAGAAACAATTTTTTTAATGAATGACCTGTGTGCTTACTCTTGAAGCCAATCTCAATGTCAATGCAATTTTAATCCAATAAAATCTCAATAATTATTCAATGTCAAACCTATACAACGCCAATCGTAGCTGTTAAATAGCATTTAGAGTACGGAATATAAAGCCAAACTCAATACCATTTAGTTCATTCAATATCCAAGCAATACGAATGGGAGCTGGTGTTGTAACTCAAGAGTACGTAATTTCACAATACCAATGTCGATCGATCGGAATTGGATTCAAGAGTAAGCCACCTGGACTGAAGTCTCATCGCAACCTTGGAGTGAAAACTTTGGAAAACATTTATGTCATCACTAGATGGTGCTATTGTAATTTAGTGTCCCGTTAATTACTATAATAATAATAAACGTTTATTAGCGCTTCATAGAATTAAAAAAATCTATATAATAATCTATTCAAAATCTATCATTAATATTCTATTGCGATGTTCAATATTATGATGTTCTGAAACCATATTAAAACAAAAATTGTCTTGTATTATTTCCAGGAGGCCACAGCGATGAACCCAGACATGACAGTCGAAAAGATCGAGATCCAGCAACAAAGCACGCAACCCTAAGCTACAGCAACACGTTGCAACGTCCACCTCGTGCCCCGGGCCTCGGACCCGGCCTGTATGTATATCTAGGTACATACCCTAGTTGTAAGCGATAACAATGCGAATATTAATCACTAAGTTATTTAAATACAAACATTTATATTGATTAATTAATAAACTGTTAATTATATTTAATATTTGATGTTGTCACGTCGTGCACTTTACGATTTTTGGGCGAAGGGAGGGTCTACAGTAGTAGGACATTGTGTCGATATACATTATTGTGTATAGGAATGTTTATGTATCGATATGACGATATATCGAGTTTGTTACATCACAATGGCCTCAATAAAGTTGCTACAATTTTCAGAATAAACAAGTTAATCTTGTCTCGTATACGGTATTTGATGACCGGCCGGCTCGCCCTCGCCCTGGAAAATGCAATTTTATATTGTAAAATATTATCGATAAGTATTGCAGCATTTTTCTTTTTTATTATTAAGCTTAGGCTAAGGCATCCATAAAATCCGGACGGCATAGGGCTTCGTAGAGATATAAATGTTGCCATAGTAAAAAAATATAAAAATGTTTTGTATTACTATATGAAAAAATCATTTAATGCCTTGTGTTTGACAAATCTGGCTGGATATTTCGAAATACGTGTGTAAGCGCATTGCTCAAATCATTTGTCTATTTAGCTTCGTTATAGTTGGATGAACAACTATCACTGCCAATGAAAGCTGTTGTAATCGTGAATTGTATACCTCTCGTAGATTTTCTAAATTACAATCATGCTAGAATTAGCCTTAAACATTTTAACTCGTCGAGTACCGTATTTATTGACACAATTAAAGAACAATAGGTTGCGGTCACCGGTGACCGCTTGGTGTTTGACAGTTTAAATCACAATACAAAAAATGTAATTATATGAATATCTTCTCGCATCCAGCCAGGTTAAGGCACGAGCTAGTTTTCTATAACGGAATAGCTTTAAAATACTGTCACACGAGTTAGACCACCGTATTTAGATATGTAAAATACAAATTTATTAATTTTCTCCTCCCTTCTATTGGAAGTGTCGGTATACAATGTAGTGCGGGACTAATTGGTTATCCATCGATACACTTGTCACGGTTTACCGATACATCGATATCGATAAACTGTCGCAACACTATCGGGAACTACAAAAGTATATGTTATTAAAAAGATATATTATTGACGTGTTGCTATGGACTATATTATATCTACGCGCTCGCTGTACTACGCACATAGTAGATACTGTTATTATTATGAAGAAAATATCTTATGAAAAGCTTTTACGGCTTATTTATAGTCATCAAGTGATATAGCGAATTTGTGTCGTGTGTGATTGCAATAAAGATTTAAGATCTATATACGTGGCTAGGCGCGTAGTGCAGCGAGCGATATATTTCACCATTAGGTGCTACTACTTAGGGTCTAGTGTTTACGTACATTTGTATGTGCCCGGCGGCGGGCCTCCATTTTATATTTAATATTAGTTTGGCAGCTTTGGCTTGACGGACGGGAGGCACACTGACACCTAACTACGTAAATATTATAATATATAACACAGATATAATGTTTGTTTGTTTCGTTATCTTGTAAAGATTGAGATGTGTGCCAGTGCGTCTCCCGGGAATGTAAACTAAGCTTAGTCGGTCAATGTTAGAGATTAGGGCCAGGCGAGCATTTGTTGCATTCGACAGTTCAGTGGAGTAACGAGGGACATTCCATAGTTCACAAACTTATATCTAGGAGTAAACGCTACATCATGACACAGAGTGTTTGTTTCTTATTATTTTTGTCTTAAGATTATTTCTATACGGTCGCGGCGCACTTAACGAGCTCACAACAATATGATACACATGTATGAATATACTGAAACATCTGATTAAGCAATTATGCCACCTAAGTCTTTGTTATGTACAGTTGAAATAGTTTGACATCGCACAAAACTTGTTCTTACAGAGCTCGCCAAGTGCACGCGACCGCACTAAATAAGTTGGAATGATACTGATATTGTACAATTTATTATTATTATTATACTATAATATTAATATATTTCATACACGCTAGACGTAAACATTATTTTATATTAGAGTTAAGTTTTAAACACTGATTTAAAATCAGATTTTATGTATCATGATAACGACTTGTTTTATTTACTTGAATTACTATAACACATGTATCCGTGTGCATAAGTTTCAAGTAAATATAACTCTTGGTTATCCTTTTTTTTATAAATTTGACATTTTATTGTATTTAGTTCACGGATGCTGTCAAATGATGGATTAAATGAAATTATTGAGTAACTAATGTTTGTCTATTACCTGTCTGATTCACGTTGGTATTGCGAGTGGAGCGCCGGGAATTAATGTTGATAGAGTAAAGGGTTTTATACAAATTGTTTTATCGATATTTGTTTCTTGTCCTGCACTTGATATTCTTCTTGTGTTAATTTATGACTCTGATCGTGGCTGATGTTTTGAGACAGGCATTTTTTTATACATTTCCTCGTACATTGTTTTGTAATTGCATAAATGGTAATAGTATCTGAATATCACATTGTGTCAGTAATTAACGGTCCTAATACTTTCAATAATAGTTTTCTTTAGTTTGTCAGTTTGTCTGTCTCATAACAATGGCGGCGTATTGAGGTTATATTATATTTATTGTAGATGTTTATTTTTGTATCGAGTGGCCCTGCTCCGTAAGCGGTATCGAGGAGAGTTAGGTATTACAAATAAACAATGCTTTGTTTTATATACGACTTTTTATTTTATACCCTCCTAGCGACCCGCCCCGGCTTCGCACGGGTGCAATATGCATGTATTATACATATAAACCTTCCTTAAGAATCATTATCTATTAAAGAAAACCGCATCGAAATCCGTTGCGTAGTTTTAAAGATCTAAGCATACATAGGGACAGACAGACGGCGGATAGCGACTTAGTTTTATAATATGTAGTGATTTTGGACATTCAGGATGTGGGTAATAAGTTCATCTCTTTGATTTTATTTTAATGATTGTGTTAGGTTGTTAAATTACCTTTTTTTGGTTTCTGTCTACAATACGATATCTATGTATGTAGACTGTTCTAATCTGGTTTATAAATCTCTTGCTTATTCCATTTTGAGCCGGTATTCCAGCCACCGTACCGTTGTTGGTGCGGTGGCTGGAATACCGGCTGGCGCGCAACGTGTCAAGGGTTCCCGTTTTTTTTTTAATATTTTAGCAAATTGTAACCGAAAGTTCGCCAATAAGATGTTGTTTAATGGTAAAATATTTTTAATCATTTGTCCAACATATAAAATTACTATAAATACTACTCGGGTTAAAAAACAAGTTCTTTAAACTAATTAATTTTACCCAAAACAAGTATTCCAAGCATGTTTTTTGACGTAAAAACACGTCATACATTTGTATTATACTTATAAACCCAGACCGAACTAATCACTCTAAATATTGTTTTAGCTATACAATGATCAAATGAAAGGTCCAATTACTATTAACAAGTAGGGGTTACGAATGGCTACGATTCAATATAAATAAAAGGCACTAATTAATAACGGAATTGAGTACGTTTTTGTTATTATTTTGTGTTGTCGGAGTTACAGATTTCTTGCTTACCAAATATCAAAAGGCCAGTACCTACATTATATTTTTTTACATTATTTTATTAGGTCGACCTGTATGTAATAAACTATGTGATATAATCCAACAATCTATACATATTACACGCACTTTATAATTCTTGTATCATCATGAAACTTGCCAATTATGCATATGTAGATTATAATAGATGATCATACAATATTATGTACCATGCATTGAGCTGATCTGATAATGAAATTGAAAGGAATCATCCTCAACAGCCTATAAGTGGCCACTGCTGACTAAAGGCGTCTTCTCGTATGGATAAGGTAAGCATTAATCGCCACGCTTGCTCAATGCGGGTTGCCGATTTCAACAGACTGTTCGTTTAGTGCACCAAGATTTTCTTCAACAATGAACAAACTGACCGTACAGAGCGCCATCTTGATTTTCTATCCTGCATGAACTGCATATCGAAAACACACGGTGTCTCGCATAGATCTACGCTCTGACATACCAGAGGTTAAACCACATCAAATTCAGTTGCTTAGTTTTTAAAATTTAAGCGTACTAAGAACATGCAGCTGCAAGCTACTTTGTTTTAAACATGTAGGTAACGATTATTTTGAGTCGGTACTTGAGGTCTTTATGTTCATTATAATTATGATAATGATTGAAGTCACAAGGCATCTAATCAAGGTTGTCCTTACATTCACTTCAAACGTCAAGGAAGTCAATTATAAAATCTGATTGAATTTTGATTAGTGACCTCTGAATTGTTACCATTGGCATTTTTTATGGGATAAGCCGGTAAACGAGCAGACGGATCACCTGATGGTAAGCATTCGGCGTCGCCCATGGACCCTGAAAGACTTTTTTTTAATGGTGGAATATAATCGAATGACTTCTTCCGCCTGGGTGAGGCGGAAGGGAGTGTCAGACTCTTACTGACTAAAAACCACCCCGTTCCTTTTCCTGCACTTAGGTTCTCCGCGACTCCGAATAACACCTGAAAGACTAGAGGTGTTACAAGTGCGTTACCGTCCTATTGGGGGTTAGTAATTTGAGGATTGTTGGGGATTCAAGGATTGGAGATATTGGAAATTGAGAGATTTTTATACAACCCCAGAACACAAAATAAGACCATAATGTGAATCCCCAGGAATCGAAACCACGAAACCTTGCATAGCAGTCGGTCTCGCAGGAAATGAACCAAATGTCCAAGCATATCGAAATATTGTCCGCTGCTTCGTCATTCTACTCTGGTGTTGCGGTTGCAGACTATGAGTGGCTCTGATCATAATAAATTTTACTTTTTAAGGTGCACGCTATACTCTATGGGAACCTACTTGAAGGTTTAATTCATTTTACTTTAAGGAATGGAATTCCTTGCCAGAGGCTGTGTTTCCCGTCAAATATGACTTGGGTGTATTCAAGTCCCGAGTGAACAGGTTGCTCATAGGTAGGCGTGCACCATCGTCGGCCACATCATCGCTTACCATCAGGCGAGATGGTGGTCAAACGTCGACCTATAAAGTGTAAAAAAAAACTTCGGAAGTTGGACGATTAATATCACTGAGGTTTGAATTGTTTTTTAATTATTCTAATAATGACTTACAAATAACAAGTTTGATAGGTACTTGGAAATTATGTGTTTATCCATAATCCCAGGCGCCGATATAAAAAAATGAACCGGCTCTTCTAGTTACTTTATATAATAGTATTAATTATTATTATAAAATATACCTAACAAACAAGTTTTCTTAACTAATTTACTATTGAGGCCTTAGTAAATCTAAAATAATATTAAAACAGATTATATGAGATTAGAGTTATTAAACTCTTGTTTTTTAATTTCTAATTCCGTGTTTGTCTTTATAAACTTTGCAGTAGGTAATGTGAACTGATCACAATTGTTTAAGTTTGTAGACGATGTAGGTAATTGCTATCGTTGGAGCTATAAAGATATTTAGTAGGAAACTCCTACTTACTTACTACTTGGACAATTATTCTCTCAGTTGCGTAGATTTAGATAGGACATTTTACTGAAAGCGCCTGAAGAAGGACGTGTTAAAAAAGTGTATCAGTGATAATTATTTGTATCAGATTTTCCTTCTTCGTTCAATTATGTATATTATATTCGTACGCCGGCGGGTTGTGTCCAGTTTGTGTGAGATCAGTGCGTGGTACAGTTGGATTAGAGTGCTATTAATGTGATTTCCTGGTGTCCTTAGTGTTGTGAGTTTGTTAGACATTTGTGCACAGTATTAACCAACATCGAAGATATAAACTAGGTACCTATTTAGTTACCGACTTTATCATTTCCTCTAATACTAATTTTATTTCCTTCAATAATATTCAACCGTTAGAAGACCACTACTGAACAAAAGCCCTTTTCTGTAGAAAGGGTGTTTTTGCAATTTAGTACCTTCTAAATTAACTAAAATCGCAGCTTAAGAGAACCTAACGGGTTACTGGGGCTCCGGCTCAAAGTCCAGGAGAAGGAACGGGGTGGTTTTTAGTCAGAAAGAGTCTGATTCGATGATTTTCCCCCATTAAAAAAATTCACGTGAATATACTGAGAACAGCTCTACTAGTTTCGAACCACAGAGGGGTTCTTCCTCATGAGTAGCAACTCAGCGCAAGTAGCAACACCGTTGCGAGCGCCAACGCCAGATAGTGAGTTGCGCGACATCGCCGCGACAGCGCACGCTGCTCATGAGGAAGAACCTCTCTGTGGTTCGAAACTAGTAGAGCTTTTCTCAGTATATTCACGTGAGTAACCCGCGATTTTAGTCAATTTAGTATGTCTTACGATAGTTATTATAAAAAAGTACCTTCTATTTCCTAAGTGTATCAGGCTCGGGGAACGCTCTTAAATCAATAGTCAAAGTCAAAGCATTTATTTCAATTAACTCGTCGAGTACCGGTTTTATAGACACAATTAAAGAACAATAGGTCGCGGTCACCGGTGACCGCTTGGTGCTTGACAGTTTAATCCTTAACGACTTAATTGTTAACAACTGAATTGTCCGTCCGTCTGTCTGATAGTGAAGCTAGGTGCTAATAACAAGCTGTAGAATGATTTTTGGATCCACTTATTAGGTACGTATATGTACCTACTCATTCATACTACCCACCAATTAATTATTAAAAAAATCTACATAATAATATTTAAAAAGATTTTGTTATTCATTTTCAAGTCTTGTGGATCGAGTGTTTATAAATAACACTGCTAAATAAAGGGTTTCGGGTCTAATTTATGGGTCGGACTATTATTGGGTTTTTCGATGTCCGAAATTCCCATAGGGTCACCGCACTCAGCGGTACCTAATGGTATGGCAAATAAACACGGATATAGGTAGGTACCTACCGCAACAGGTCAACCTGTCTCTGTTCTTCCTTAGCTTTAATTAGATTAAAAAAAAGATTTTGGATCTTATTTGTGCGCAATTAAATCGAAAAATACATATGAGATAAGTTTTTTTTAAGGGGGGAATATCATCGAATGACCGCTCCCGCCTTTTTTTTTAATGGGACAAGCCCGCCACAACCTTCCAAAACCGCTGCAACTCCTGTAAGCCAGGATCTACAGTAGATACAACCATGAAAACACCGGAACACTGAAGTCCGGCGCGTCTCAGGGACATGAGTAAATGTCTTGGTTCCCGCAAACGAAGTGAATCAGAAGATATTATAAGAGGAGAAGAAGAAAATGCTCCCGCCTTGGTGAGGCGGGAGGGAGTGTCAGACTCTTACTGACTAAAAACCAGCCCGTTCCTTCTCCTGCACGGCGAGCCGGAGCCCCGGCAACCCGTTAGGTTCTCCGCGACTCCAAATCGGCATTGCAGATATGGATAGCTTGTGTCTATACAGACCTAATAAATAAGTTTTGTCTTTTCGTCCAGGTTTAAAGGACATGTCTCGTCTACTCCTCATTGTAGCGATGTGGGTGTCCACCGCGCATGCAGCGACGGTGGTACCTGTCACAATGCAGCCGCTTCTTGGTAAACTGAGGAAAGGCATCACGAACGACATCGCTACTATCGCAGAGCCTATTGAGAAGGCTCTGTTTGCTATAGGCTTTAGTCAGTGTGAGTATAATTCTAATATTCGTCAGAAATTGAAGGAGTTTTCATCGTTAGTTTTTACTTTTCACTATTTATGTTATGAGTCCCATGTAATAGGGGGTGACCATTGTCTTCGTATATAATATTACTCGTCGTAAAGTTGAGTAAACAGAGCAATCACGAAATTTGTAGAGGTAACTCCTAGTTCGTCAAAGCAAGGGTGATAGAAACTAAAAGCTTGTATATGTAGTACGTGAGGATCGTAGTATGTAACAAATTTAAATTCAAATCCATTTATTAATTGTACTTTGCCTCATTGGCCAAGTGGTAGCAAGTGCGACTGCCGGGCAAGGGGGTCTCGGGTTCAGGAATCGATGGCTTTTCTCAGTGGTAGCACGGAGTCTAGAACTGTGCCCGGTATATGGCAATAGGATCATCCCTTATTACATGGGATTCATAACCTAAATAGTGAAAAGTGGGTGTTACATTAAGTGCTGTAATGTGCACCTCTGCCTACCCTTTCGTGAATAAAACGCGTGATGTTATCTTATGTTATTAATTGTAAACTTTAGGTCTTAAATACCTTAATAACAATATCTACATATGGGTATCATAGTGGTTTGGGACAAATGCATCGGTTTTTAGTACAGGCAAGTGTTTATCCGTATTGATAGTTTAACACTTTATCGGATAAACCTATTCTAATCTTGTTGGTTACATTAATCTACGATTTTATTCATAGATATACCGAGGACAAGCTTACTGAGCCACTACTAATACTTGCCACCCTGTTCTCAGGCAGTGAAGTGAAGAAGCTGCTAGGAGTGGACTATGCCACCTTCAATCGAATGGATCCAGACCTGAACAGCCTGAGTCTAGTATTCACCACGAGGTGAGCTCTCGTAGACATTACAAATTGTCATTAAAAGCCTGGGGTGTTACTTATTATAATCTCATATGTCATGTGCGATGTGTGATAGTCTGATAGATCGGGTTACCGGGGCTCCAGCTCGAAGTGCAGGAGTAAGAACGGGGTGGTTTTTAGTCAGTAAGAATCTGACACTCCCTCCCACCTCACCCAGGCGGGAGAAGGAATTCGATGATTTTCCCCCCTTAAAAAAACCCAAGATTATTTTATACATTTATAATTTACATTCCGCATTTACCTACAATTCTACATGCCATAATAAATGCTTCCAGGTCAGTAGACATCAAGTACAAGCTAAGAGACGCGGCGCGCCTCATCCCGCAGTCGGAGTGGTTTGATCCCACCAAGCCGCTGAAGATCTACCTCCATGGCTTCTTCGACGATCCCTCACAGGATGCCTTCACCAAGCTCAGTAAGGCGTTCCTGGATGCAGGTAAATGTGGAAGACAGTAATTTGATGATAGAAATGTTTATGAGGTAGGTTATACGAATTATTCGGCCCTTTATCTATTGAAACTAAAAGATGTGGTTTAATTTATGATTATGACTCTTACCTAATTGTTAAACACATGCCCCATTTTCATCAACTTCTCGTATATGGCTAAGATGGCTAAAATAGACGTAATGGTAAAAGTAAGGCGTTAGTTAGGGTGCTCTTTCATGCTAACTAACTCTTAGTTAAAGTATGGTTCAGGGGTCGTTAATGTACGTTACATTAGGCAAAGTTTAAACGTGAATTGACACTTATACCTATGGGTTGCAGGTGATGTGAACGTCCTAGCGCTGGACGCGAGCTCCTTGCTGGGCTGGCGGTACCTGCGCGCCACCACCATGGTGCAGTTCATAGGGGAGCAGCTCGGGAAGCTACTGGCTTCACTTGTTAAAGGTGACCACTTTTTTATTTGGTAGGGCGCAAATGAGGAGTCAGATCACATGCCTGATGCTCGCCTGATGATCAATCGGGGACGCTTAATATTACTCCATCCTAATTTGCTGATAGTAAATTACATTTAGAAAAGAAATGGTTTCCTCAACTTAGTTAATTGACGCATTTAGACCACTTTCTTTGTAAAATTAAGCATACTAACACTTAATTTATTTATACTATTTGCAGCGGGCCTCCGTCGATCCAACATCCATTTAATTGGACATAGTCTTGGGAGTCACATATCCGGGTTCGCGGGCAAGACGTTCAAGACACTAATCAAGCACCGGGTCGGCCGGATAACCGGGTTGGACCCGGCTGGGCCATGCTTCTCGGACGTGAATGTCACACTGAGGCTCAATAAGAAAGACGCTCGGTTTGTTGACGTCATCCACACTGACGCTGGAGTGTATGGTATCGCTGAGAGAGTGGGTGAGTTACATAATAGATTAAATGGTTTTGGATGATCAAAAACTAATATTTCTTCGAAAACACTTGGACAAACATCTACGGAAGTGGAGACTGGGTGCGACAATACGAACCTGAATCTAAAAAACATAAAAGACATAAACATAACATGAACATAAACAAACATATTTTATACGATCCTCACGACCAATATTGTAACAGGTACTCGTTGATTTACTCAGGTTCTTAATTCTAGAAACAAATGACTTCGACATAGCCTGTCCTTCTGTATATCTATTAATATTCCACCTATTGGACTGCCTCGTTGGCAGAGCGGTCGCAAGTGCAAGTGCAAGGGGTCTCGGGCAAGGGGCAAGGGGTCTCGGGTTCGATTCCCGGGTCGGGCAAAGTATTACTGGGTTTTTAAAAATATCAGTAGTAGCACGGAGTCTGGAAGTATGCCCGGTATATGGCAATAGGCTCATAACATAAATAGTGAAAAGTGGGTATAACAATGTGTAGTGGCATTAAGTGCCGAAATGTGCACCTCTGCCTACCCCTTCGGGGATAAATGGCGTGATGTTATGTTATGTTACATACCTATTCTATTTAAGAGCATTTTATGATCAGGTCATGTGGACTACTTCCCGAACGGTGGTTCCAAGCAGCCGAGCTGTCCCCCGACCCACCTGCTGGACTCCTGCAGCCACAGCCGTGCCTGGCTGCTCTTCGCGGAGTCTGTCACCAATCCAGACGCCTTCGTCGGAGTTGCCTGTCCAGACTGGGCCGCATTTCAAAACCAACAGTGTAATTATTCTGATTTGAGGTGAGGACATATTAAAAAATGAAATGCTGAAAACGAACTTGGGCTCAACGGTTGATGCTGGTCGTTTGTCATCAGGCGATTAATTAACTCGTTTTTTCATTCCAGCCCTATGGGTCTGGCTAGCCGGCCTGGGACGCGAGGCACCTACTACCTCAGTACAGCAGAGGAGTCTCCTTACGGCCTAAGTGAAGACGGCATCAGATTCGTCAAGAGCGAGGGTGTCTTCCGGTTCTTCACGGATATCTTCTCAATGTTCACCGGGCAACGCTGACACAACGTCGAACTGGACATATTTATTATGGTCCTCAAATTCCTGATTCCGAAAAGGCCAGTAACGTATTCGTAATAACTCCTCTATTTGCGACTATCTATGGGCGGCGCTGGTTGCTTACCATCAGGCGATCTGTCTGCTCGTTTACCACCTTATGCTATTAAAAAGTCAGAGTCTTATAGGCCTCAGTTCTTACGAGCCTGAATGGACCCCAATCACGGGTCTTGGGTCGTTTAGGCCCAGTCCAACTACAGTCTGATTACAAAGTTATGTGTTACTCTATTGCTAAGTGTTTCTTGCCCTTTATCGTTTTTAAGTTGAATTTTCGCAATTACAGTATTGTTAATTGGCCTCACAATAGACGAGAGACCAATATACTGGGTTGTGTAAAGTAATTCCTAGTCCTTTTTGGGCGAGTAAAGTAGTGACAACTAAAAGTACTAAAACTCTTAGTACGTCGTCCGACCGTCGAGGCCGCGATGCAACGAACAATTAGAAAAATAAGTAGGTAAATAAATAGTATATAACTGAAAAATGTGTACATACTGTGTGAAATTATATTATGAAGTTAGATGATAAATACATTACTAGATAAGCTATAGTTATGAATTACAAACGTCTAAAGAAGCATTTAATAAACGGGTGTAATTTAAGTTTAATTAGATTCTATAAAATAAGTTTGTTGCTGTATCTTGCCCATGTATGTTGTCTTGTATCTTTATGTATATTGTACAAACAAATAATAAAACTAATTTTCATATTTTATTATTTTTAATACGTAAGTATTTTTCGTTATTATTAATTATTTTGTAGGTACCTATCTAAGTTATACTGTAGTGTTCTAAATAAATTGCTGTTTAGGACTGAAATGTACGTAATTTTTGTTAAGTAATTTAGTTTTTTTTTATGAATTGATTGATTAAGAGTTTAGAGAGTACAAGAAAGAAAGAAAAAGCTTTATTCCACACACCAAATAACAAGTAACATGTACAGATAAGTCATTATATTAGTAGATACTGATGGATACATGACCGTACATGTTCTTGTTCTAAGTCTGCGGTGAAATGGGACCAGTTCAGCATGTGCAAGACAGGGGCTTCAACAGGGGCCAGTAGGCCCCGTGCCTGAAGTACAAAATGCTACTGAAAAAGAATACTGTTACGTTTCTTCGATTCATCACAGCATATCATGTAGGTAATGGTCTAATGTCAGAGAAGGTAAGTTTGCACAAGTAAACATAACGATAAGTAACAATTATTTATTATCAATAAGTATTGTACGTGAATACATAATACATCGCAGTAACAATTCACGAGTGAACATTACACGTCTAATTTATGTATTTACCTATCTTACATTTGGTACAGGTTACAAGCACACAACATCATTGTCATTGGGTTTTTTTTAAGGGGTAAAATCATCGAATGATTGCTCCCACCTGGGTGAGGCGGGAGGGAATGTCAGACTCTTACTGACTAAAAACCACCCCGTTCCTACTTCTGCACGTCGAGCCGGAGCCTCGGTAACCCTAAGGTTCTCTGCGATCATTGTCATTGATTAGACTTTATGGCAAGGGAATTTGCGAATAAAAATATACCTCAACATCTTAGTATAGCAGTTGAAACTCCAATTATTTTGTATTATTACTGACTTTAAGTTACATTTTTATTTTAACTTTTTAATACTAACTAGATGGCGCAAATGTAGAAAGGAATCTTTTGTCCAATTACAGAAGCTGTCAAATAGTGAAGCGAACGGTATTGTATTGTGAAACTGATTGAAAAAGAGTAACACCTATAGAGTTTTTTGCTCGTTTTTCTCCATAGGAATCTACACTTTGGAATGAGCAAATAGGTTCACTAGAGGACTGTCTGACAGACTGACATTTTGTACCTTCCTGGTCTAATTGAAATTAATGGTTTTGACTTTAACTTTAGTAACACTGACTAATTCTCTATTGGACGAAGAACGTGAGGTTCACACTCGCGCCATCTTTGTTGTAAGCCAAAATACGGTAGGCCCCAATAAGTTCACGTTACACCAATGTAAAAAAGACCTATGTAGTGATTTTTCGATTTTTATTTTAGACAGACTTACAGATTCATAATTGTAATTATTTATGATTTGATTTAATAATAACAAGAACTTTTTATTACATTTTACTTACAAAATAACGCTATACCTAATATCTACAATAGCATCGTTATGGAATTCATAAGATATTAAAATAAAATCACTTTGAAACTTTCTACATGTAAATACACTGGTTCAAATGCATGGTTCATAGTGCAACACACATATATTAATGCAACACGCAGTTGTGACTTTGGTAAATACATTACAAAAAAAACTAATCAATGTATCTAAGACACTTTGACCTGTTTTTTGCAATTAACAACACTATAACTCTTGGAATAGAGTACAAATTCATTTGAAATAATTATCCATAAAAATCAGTCATGATAAGATCTAGTGTAGATGATGTTGAACCAAGTTATTTCCCGGTGACTATGTACTTGATGTTCCTGACGATGCCGGCGTTGTTGACGTAGGTGAGCCCTTCTACTCCGCGGCCGTAGGGAGACTCATTCGAGGTCTGGAGGTCGTACTTGCCGCGGGAGTCCGTGGGGCAGTAGTAACCCATGATGCTGGAGAGAGAAAAGGTAGGTTTAGAAAGATTTTCTGTGGATATATGTCAACGCTATGTGTCACCACCCCTGCCATACCCGTGGGTGTCTTGTAAAGGACGATATTTAACAAAGACAGGCAAAGAAAAAAATTGGGCATGATGTACATATACACAAACAGAAAGAGCAAAACGAATAAACAATAAACTACAAAAAAAGAAATAGAAAAGAATAATGAAAAAAAAACGACATGGCGGCGACGGGCCCATGGCAAAAGGGGTTCTTTTTTTTGATCGCGTATAATAATCCAATGACTCCCGCCTTAGGTGAGGGAGAAGGAGCGAGGGGAGAGGTCAACTCAATATGAGCTGGTCACAATAATAAATCATGGTTGGTTACCAACCCGTATTGAGCAAGCGTGGTGATTAATGCTCAAAACCTTCTCCGTGTGGGAAGAGGCTTTGCTCAGCAGTGGGGATTTATAGGCTGATGATGATGATGATGATGACAATAATAAACCCAACACTGGTTTTCAGTTGGCATTCTCTGATACACCAGGTTCTTTGTACTGACATCCCCAAGCCAGTAAAGAGTTATGGTAAACCTTTCTTTTATAAAGGAACCACGTAGTCCAGCAGTGAAGTTTCACCGATAATTACCTGGTGTCATTATAATTGCAGTTTCCTTTCATGAACTGCTTCCAGCTGGAGCACTGCGCCCCGATGAAGGCTTCCGGTATCAGCACAGACTCGGTGTACAGCTGCCACGCTCGGCTATGGCTGCACGTTTGGAAGAGACAGTTCGGCTGTTCGGAGCCACTGTTCGGGTAGAAGTCTACGTGACCTGAGGATTGGGAGATTATTGTTTTAACAAAATGTTCAAGGGAAATTTGCCAAACGTTAGAAGTTTGTGAAACATCAGTTTACACCATAGTAATGATTTGTTCTAATTTAGTTCTCAGACTGAAGTCTCAAATATACAGAAGTCGCACTCTAGAGAATCTTTAGGGAACAGAGAGTATAGTTCCCTAAGATCGGAAAAGGAGGATCCTCCGACCAGGCGAGGTGATCGTGCCTGGCGGGCTTTCTGCCCAACAGTTGTTCGTTGGGATTTTCTATCCGTGTTAATTTGCATGTAAACTTTGCATGTGCGATGTAGGATTTTTGTGACGTCATCCGTTGACATGTACCATGTGTCGCCACAAATCTGTATGTAGTAGACAAAAGACTAGAGAAGTCATTATCAACTTACCAATCGCCTCATTTAGTCCATATACACCGGCATCAGTATGAATAACGTCCACAAAGTCCGCGTCTTCCTTGGACAGCCTCAGGTCTATCGGCAGGTTCGAAAAGCAGGGTCCAGCAGGATCAAGCGAGGAAATTCTGCCAACACGGTACCCGGTCTGGTTGTAGAACGACTTGCCGGTAAATCCTGCGATGTGACTGCCCAGACTGTGACCTATCAGGTGGATCTTTGAGGGGTCCAGACCAGCTGTGAATAAACAAAATTGATGATGAGGTAACCTGTCCTATTTATCGAGTAAAAATGAAATATGGGCAACAGGTCTTCCTGTTCGATTTTTATGGACGAGGGTGATCTCTAAATAATGCTTCACGGACTAAAAGGTGTGATGTTATGTTAACTAAAGAAGTAAAGATATTTATTGGAATTTACTGCCCCGTTGGCCGAGAGGTCGCAAGTGCGACTGCCGGGTCTCGGGTTCGATTCCCGGGTCGGGCAAAGTATTACTGGGTTTTTAAAATAAAATCTCAGCAGTAGCACGGAGTCTGGAATTGTGTCCGGTATATGGCAGTAGGCTCACCCCCTATTACATGGGACTCATAACATAAATAGTGAAAAGTGAGCGTTACATTTTACAGTTGCTAACGTTCACCTCTGCCTACCTCGTCGAGGATAAAAGGCGTGATGTTATGTTAAGTTATGTTGTGGAATTGAAAATATGTGGGTTACTACAAGCAGTGTCGGTATAAACACGTAGCAATGCGCAGCATTTGCTACGAGACCACCACCGTTAGAGGGCGGTTTTATGGAACCAAACACAATCTCCACTGGTCTAGTACACTTTAGTTTTTTTTTTAAGGGACAAGCCCGCCACAACCTCCCAAAACCGCTGCAACTCCTGTAAGCCAGGATCTACAGTAGATACAACCATGAAAACACCGGAACACTGAAGTCCGGCGCGTCCCAGGGACATGAGTAACTGTCTTGGTTCCCGCAACGAAATGAATCAGAAGATATTATAAAAGGAGAAGAAAAAACTATAGTTTCCAACATGAGTACTAGAGACACTGTATAAGAACGAGGAACTCTCAACATAATTTACTAAGCCCCCCGCGCTTTGTTAATCATCCCCTGCTTTTATATTACCTATATCATTTCAATTACGTTTCATTTATTACCAAACCTCCAATACATGCAATAACAATGCTCCCGGCAGACTTGCTCAGAATGACTAATCATCTTTAACATCTATAACACCATGATATACATACGTATATAATGTAACTAGCGACCCGCCCCGGCTTCGCACGAGTGCAATATATACATACAAACCTTCCTTAAGAATCACTCTATCTATTAAAAAAAACCGCATCAAAATCCGTTGCGTAGTTTTAAAGATCTAAGCATACATACGGACATACAGCGAAAGCGACTTTGTTTTATACTATGTATTGATGATTAACAAAGCACCAGTTTCTTCCACGTGCTCCGATTGCGTGCTTGCAATAATTATATTGCAGGTAAATACGTATTACAATTACAAGTCGTAACAATATCTCATCTGATAGTTATTTCTATGATAAGGTTAATACAAAGTAAGTCAGTGTTTACTTTACTCAATCAACGATTTTGTAACAGTAACTGTTAATAATAAAGATGTCTTTTTTAAAGGGACAAGCCCGCCACAACCTCTCAATACCGCCACTCCTCCTGGAGCAAGGATCTGCTGGAGTGAAGACCATGGGAACACAAACGACCTGTAGGTAGATCGCTGATATTGGGAAATGCTTTAAAGTATCGACTCACCACTCTTCTAACCCTATTCACCTCTCGATCCCTATTTGCCCCGTTTTCCTACTACTGCGTCTGCGTTGTTTGTAATCAAGTATCTTTGTTAAGAATTATGGAAACTCACCAGGTACTAAGGCGGACAGTATGGAGCCGAGCCTCTCTCCAATGAACCGCACCATGACGGTAGACCGCAGGTAGAACCAGCGGATCAGCGAGCTGGCGTCCAGAGCCAAGATGTTCACGTCATCTGCAAAGATTAGTCGTTAATATGTTATTTGTAAGGGAATTTATTTTGGAACCAGAGTTTTTGTCGTCGCAACGCCAGTTTCGTTCATAAATAGTAGAAAAATTTAACAATCGAATATCCAATAAGGGGGCGTTCATAAATTACGTGAGGTGTTTTAATTTTCTGTTCCTCCCTCCCCCCCTGGTCAGATTTCGTAAGATTTTATTCAACACCCTCCCCCGTACCTCAATCTCACGTGTTTTATTTCAAAATGTTGGTTTTTACGTAACCGCGTTGCTATTGCAAAAGAAAAAAAGTTGCTTCCTCCTTTTGTTTATGACTAGTTAAGATGTAGAAGTAATCAATATTGCTAAAATGTAACAATATAGTAAACGTATAAAACAAATCCCTGTACAATCTTGATTAAATGGTCTAAAATAGTAAAAAAAATATTTTGTTACAATTAAAAAAAAAATACGTCATATTTGCCGAGACCCCCCTCTCTCCAACGGAAGATTAGATGAAATTTGAGTGTACCCCCTCCCCCCCTTAAACATCTCACGTAATGTATGGACGCTCCCTAAGAAAATTTTTCAAGCAGTTGTATATACATCTGTTTGGTTGGAAAATTCGTCTTTATTAGTGAAAAACTTCACGTATTACTTTGGTGCTCTTCTTTTTCTTGTATATTTGATCATTTCAAAGGGTGTTATTATAAACTTACTTTCTTCAAGGAAGGCCTTGCTGATGGTCTGGTAGCTGGACTTGGAAGGGTCATCTGTGAACCCGTGCAGGAAGATCCTGAACGGTAGCTCAGGGTTGAACCACCGCTCCAGGGGGATTTCTTCGGGAGCCAGGGTTAAATTGTAGGTGACAGTTTTAGCCCTGGAATGATAGATCGTCTGATAAGTGATCCAGTTAATCATGGCATAATTTTCGTGGACGAGATTCCTCTGGCAAACCCCTATGATATAATGGAGGCCCATGAGAAAACCTATCTATTTGAAATTTGGAATACCCCTTACCTGGTAATGAAGACCAGAGTGAGCTGGCTTAGATCTGGTCCGGAGTCCGCGTAGTTTTCATATGTCACTCCGATCAGCTTCTGCACGTTCGAACCTGGGGACATTTGGTATTTTTATTAACTGGATACGCTGCGTAGCTATGGATGTTATACCTATGTCACATCATTATTTTTTTTATAATGCTTATAAACTTGGAGACTATGACAAAGCTCTCTTTGATAGAGAAGATCCATACTCCCATTCTCTAAGAGTGGACATTCACAAGCTCTTGATGGTCATGACGATACTTACATTGGCTAGATCCGATGAAGGCGATAGTCTTCCCGAGGGGGTCCGCAATGGCTTGCACCTCATTCTTCGCTCCCTGGGTTACGTCTTTGGCTAAGTCTTTGATGAAGCCGAGTTGTGCAGCTGCCGAAGTCAGCCACAGCGTCGTGAGGAAGGAAGCCAGGTGACCCATGTTTGAGGGTAACTGTGACACCTGCAGTATTTATTCAGGAAATTAAATACATTTTAGAAGTAATTGTTTCTGCGCAGTTTCGGATCATTGGTGGTGGAGTGATGCTTTACGGCACAAAAAGCTTTTTTGAATCCAAATCTAACAATTTTGAACATAATTTCCGACTTGCCCTAACTTCGGACGAATGTTATTCCTTGATTTAATTTTTTATTGAACCTAGCCCAATAAAGCCTCGGTAGGTACTAAAATTTTAATAATTAACATAGGTATAATAGAAGATGGAGACGACGGAGAAGATGGTTATTTTGAGAATTCCTTCATCTTGCCTCTCTTAAAAGAAAGTAGAATGTATATTTTATAAAGAATTGAAATTAAGTACAAAGAATTTATATACAAATTAATTAAATATTTTGAGCATTGAATTGTTATCTAATCTAGATACATATACTTTGAACATTTAAACATTTATGTGTACCACAGTGCACATATTATTTATTTTTGTTATGTTTATACTGAAGTCAATCACAACATTTCATTAATTAGATACATACACTCACTTGTGTGAGGTTTGCAACCGCCTACAGTTTATACATGTTTATCAAACTGTGATATTGGTACCTATATTCATTTCTATAATATAACTTAATATTTCTAGTTTTCTAAGTGAATATTCTGACATTTTTATCTCGAAGCTAAAGTTATCATAGCTTTTTGTTTGTGTTAGTTTCTGTGGTATTGACTTGTGATTGCAGAAAAAAAATTATTAAAAAATTTTGGAGCTTAAAAGAGACAATGACCTCTCCCAGTCAGTCAGTCAGGCCCTCATCATCGAGTAATTTAAAGATTGACATGTAAAACGTGTTACTTTGTAACCTAACTTAATTGCAGAAATAAATATCATTTCATAATTTCATTTCATTTCAAATCCAGTTTTCTTCTTGCTCAAACCGTAAGAGCCGACCAAAGGACAGGACAAGGACAAGGAAAGGACTACACAGAGACGGCAGCAGTGCTCTCTAATAAACCTGATCCTGGATTAGGTTGATCGCTTAGAAACACATTATTATAATTTACTAGCGTCTTCCTTCGGTGTCACCCGCGTTCCAATGGGATAGAAACCAGTCTATGTGTTATTCCAAATCATAACCTACATCTGTTCCAAATCCCGATCCCTTCAGCCCTTCTGAAGTGATTGAATAACAAATGCATTTCAAAGTCAAAGTCAAAATAATTTATTTCAATTAGACCAGGAAGGCAATTTTGAACGTAAAAATAAAATATTTAAATATTAAATAATAAGAAAAAATGTCAATCAGGTCGGTCTTCTAATGAAGCTATTTGTTCGTTTCAAAGTGGTAGATTCCTATGGAGAAGAACGAGCAAGAAACTCCATTTTCAGTCAGGTTCACAATACAATTTTAGGTTACATTGTTTCGTTGAGTTCAATTATGTGAGGGCAATGTAACATTTATAATATTTATAGGACTAGGAACATGTAGATAGCCGAATGATTAATTACAATTATTAGCAAATAAAAGTAAACCTCTTCTAAGAAATTCAGGCTTTCAGTTCTCGTTTCAGCTGCAGCCATTTTCCTCGTACAAATATATATATTTTCACAAAAATGAAAGCGTAATTTTCATGAATATTTTCACCAACATTTAAAACTGCACATAACGACTATAAAATTAAGAGTTAACTGGTGTTATCTTCAATTGAAATTACGCTGGTGTTAATTAAAAAGTAATAAAGAAAGGTAATTGTTAATCAACGAGACTTTATGTCAATCATATTGATATTGCAACGAGTACTTAAGTAATTGTTTTATGACACACTAGCAGCCCGTCCCGGCTTCAGACGGGGCAGAAAATTATTTATTTTTGGAAATTTGGATTGTTGTAGTATGTCCCAACTACAATAGTTGGACATATACTACCGCGGAGTTTTTTGTAGACATTATGATGTTCTTCAATATTGTTGTACATTATTTTGTTCTATCGCTAATAGTTTCAGCAGCGCATTCGACGAAAGACATTTTAAGACTCATTTTTCTACACCTTCGGTTACATTGTTCAAATTTTACCAAGGAACCCTAATTTTTTTCAAAATGAAATGTAGCCTATGTCAAATTGGAAAAATGTAGCATTCTATTGATGAAAGAATTTTTTAAATCGGCCTAGTACTTTTTGAGCCTATTCATTACAAACATACAAAAATAGGTACAAATCTTTCCTCTTTATAATATTAGTATAGATTTATCGTGAAGTGAGTTGAAGGTATTTCTTTACTTTGTTAACCAGCTTCATAAAAAACTTAGAAGGTTCGCAGTATGACCTGTGTATTGTGTGTATTTAAGTATTGTGCACGATTATATCGCAATTAACTGAACTGAGTTTGTTACACTTAGGAGAAGGTTTTAGTATATTAATTAACGGACTTCAAGAAAAGAGGTTTTTTTTAAACTTAGTTTATAAAAGGATTATTTTAAATCATTTCAATAATGTGTTTTTTTTCTGCTCTAGTTATGGCATGATTCTTCATAAATAGTGTATAGAATTCATAACATAAATAGTGAAAAGTGGGTGTTACATTGTACAGTGGCATTTACGGCACCTAATGAGGTGCCGTAAATGTTTGTGTTCTCAGGGAAGACGGTGGCACAGTGGTCACGTGCCGCCGTAGACAGCAAGGCTTAAAGGAGACACCCGTCTCCCTAGGGATGTGTCGTAACAGGCGTTGCACCGTGGAGGCTCCGGAGCAGGTCTCTTATAGAGGACCCGGTGCCTCCATTCAGGTGTTGAGGGTGGCCACCGGGGTGGTTTTAGTGAGGTAAAAATCCCACACTCCCTAGTCTTTTATCCCCAAAAAGGCTGGGCGCCTTTTGAAGGTTTCCCCTCGTTATCAAAAAAAAAAAGGTGCCGTAAATGTGCAACTCTGCATACCTCTTCGGGGATAAAAGGCGTGATGTTTTGTATGTAGACTACACATTGACCGGGGAGTAGCATTCTCCGATAATTCGAAACCTTTTTACTAAACTAACTGTAAGTGTATGAGAGCCATGTTTCGTCACGAATGGACCGGCTCGACCGGAGTGATACCACGGCCTCACAGAAAATGGACGTGAAACAACGCTTGGGTTGGATTTCGTCCCCCTAATTACACCCCTTCCCCTCCTTTCCCAATCTCTATAATCCATGAAACTCCAACTATCCTCAAACTCCTAAACCCCATATCCCCAAAAGGCTATGGTAACGCACTTGTAACGCCTCTGGTGTTCTACCAAGCGATCCATCTGCTCGTTTACCGGCTTATTCTTTAAAACAAAACTGTGATCTCCGATACCTCTGTCAAATGTGGAGATTACGCGGTTAATCATCTTAACCCATTTGGGCCCGCCGTCCCCATATGGGGACAGGTTTTCTTTTACCCGCTAGTTATTAATTATTTTAGCTATCTTCACATTTCATGGGTATTTATAATGAGGAGTAGTGTACTTTCCTAAAATTATTAGAACTTTTGACAAATTGCTACAAAAAAGGGGTCATATTGTTAATTTTATCAAGAGGAAGTGAAATGGGAATTATTATTGAAAGCAGAGGCGTTTTGTAGTACGTTATTATGAAGATTTATAAAACTTTTTTGTGATTATTGCTTGCTTATAGTGTCAATTAAAACAATATTGAAGAATATCCTTATACTTTCAATTCCGCTTAGGGGAAAGTTAAAAAGAATGATGGTGTCCCCGTATGGGGACAATGGGCACATCTGTAGTATATTTTTAAAACATTTATACCTGATTTGTATTTTGTTTTCCAATTTATAAAGGTCACCTATAGGCTAAACTTAGTTATAGCTAATACTTGGTGACAACAGACGCTAATTCACGAAGAGCATCACCAATTCCCACATATCTTTACGCGTTCATATTCTAAAATCTGATGGGCATCAAGACCGAAGATGCAAAAGTCCACCTACAGTACCAGGCGTCGCATCCGATATCAGAATTCAGCAGTAGGGGGCATTTCCTCCAGCTGTATTCTGGTGTCGTCACAGCGAAGTCCACCCAGAGGATAGAGTAGCATTATGCCCTGTATACGTTGACCACCGCCGTGTCTTCAGGGAAGTGATCGACGACGATAATATTCCACGTCCAGCTTAGGTTCTGGCTGTGGTGCGGAGCGAGGGGAACTGGAAAACATCTCTTTCTGCGAAGCAGTCATAGTAGCAAGAACAGATCGCCGCCCAGAACCAGACCTGTACTTGTAAGGTGCGTGGCGTTACGCGCGTGCTTCAAAGTGCAGATCAGACCGCCTTAGATCGAGATGGCTCAGTGGGACAGATGCCCGACTACTATGAATAACCTAGTGGGTCACCGGGGCTTCGGCTTGAAGCAGAATTAGGAACGTGTTGGTTTTTAGCCAGTAAGAGTCCCCCAGGCGGAAAACGCAATGCATGATTTTTACCCTCAAAAAAAATTTAGGCGCGTCACATCAAATTGATTTAGACATTTTCCGCAGAGATTTAGTTAATATCTGTTACGATACGCAGTTCGTCATAAAAAAACTGTGATATCAATGCAAATAATGCGTTAGAACCGTATGTGTCGAAAACAGTTACTACTTCGAAAAGTACTACACATGGGCCCATTGTCCCCAATCAAGGACGGCATTTTTTTTAATACATCTAAAAATATTTTTTGAATTTTTTTTGCTGATATTAGTTTGTGGGCGTCATATCATTGAGTTAATAAAGTTTTTTTTATTAAATTATGTGTAGTTTGCATTTGGTCCCAAATGGGTTAAGATATGTGTACAAGCCCAAAGTCCCGCGATCTTTACGGACTGTTGGTAGATGCTTTTAATTTTTGTTAATAATATGATTATTAAGCTAAAACAATCGATAATTATGCTGCAAAACGTCAATAACTAAAAGCAAACATTATAATTTATCAGAAAAAACCCCGCGCATGTGTAAACAATCACTGAAATGTAATATTTAAA